TTTTCTGATAGATTCTGAACACTTCTCCATAGTTAACTGCTTGGGAGTCACCTGAAGTGGAATAGACTAGGGTCTATCAGTTAACTCATATGATTAACTAAAAAAATTAATCACGATTAGTTGCAATTGTAATTGCGCTGTTAAACAATAGAATACCAACTGAAATTTATTAAATTTTTTTGGATGTTTTTCTGCATTTTCAAATATATTGATTTCAGTTACAACACAGAATACAAAGTGTACATTGCTCACTTTATGTTTATTTTTGATTACAAATATTTGCACTGTGAAAAACAAAAGAAATAGTATTTTGCAATTCACCTAATACAAGTGCTGTTGTGCACTCTCTTTATCATGAAAGTTGAACTTACAAATGTAGAATTATGTACAAAAAATAACCACATTCAAAAATAAAACAGTATAAAACTTTAGAGCCTCTGAGTCCACTCAGTTTTACTTCTTGTTCAGCCAGTTGCTAAGACAAACAAGTTTGTTTACATTTATGGGGGATAATGCTGTCCACGTCTTACTTTCAGTCTCCCCTGAAACTGAGAACCGGCGTTTGCATGGTGCTTTTGTAGTAGACATTGCAAGGTATTTACCTGCCAGATATGCTAAACATTATGTCATAGAATCATAGAATATCAGGGTTAGAAGGGACCTCAGGAGGTCATCGAGTCCAACCCCCTGCTCAAAGCAGGACCAATCCCCAATTTTTGCCCCAGATCCCTAAATGGCCCTCTCAAGGATTGAACTCACAACTCTGGGGTTAGCAGGCCAATGCTCAAACCACTGAGCTATCCCTCCCCTCCCTTCATGCTTTGACCACCAGTCCAGAGGGCATGCTGATGAAGCGTGTTTAAAAAAAAGAAAAAGGAAAAAAAAAGCATTAATTAAATTTGAGACTGAACTCCTGGGGGGAGAATTGTATGTCTCCTGTTCTGTGTTATGCAAATTCTGCCATATATTTTATGTTATAGCAGTCTTGGATGATGACCTTGCACATGTTATTTGTTTTAAGAACACTTTCACTGCAGATTAGGGATGTAAATATTGTTTAAAAAGTTAACCGTTAGGATAGCTATAGCACTCAACTCAGAGTTTAAGAATCTGAAGTGCCTTCCTAAATCTGAGAGGGATGCGGTGGGGAACATGCTTTCAGAATCTTAAAAGAGCAATACTCTGGTGGGGAAAATACAGAACCCAAATCACCAAAAAGGAAAATCAACCTTCTGCTGGTGGCATCTGCTCCGAGGTTGAAAATGAACATGCTCTGTCTGCACCGCTTTGGATTGTTATTGAGCAGAACCCATGGTCTATTTATTAGTTAGTCCTGCAATGAGTGCAGTGGATTGAACTAGATGACCTCTTAAGTTTCCTTCCAGTCCTATGATTCTATGATCATCAGCATAGACATATGTCCTCTGGAATGGTGGTTGAAGCATGGAGGGACATATGAATTTTTAGTGCATCTAGCACGTAAATATCTTGCTATGCCAGCTACAACAGTGCCATGCAAACGCCTGTTCTCACTTGCAGGTGACACTGTAAACAAGAAGCAGGCAGCATTATCCAACCACTTCTGCACCAGGTCCTAGCTCTCACTTCCTTCCTCGCTCCCTCTCTCCTTAAAGACTCATTTCATGAGAATGTCTTCCTATAGAAGGTGGACCCTCTGCTATCAAGGGAATCCATAAAAGCTGTCTTCCTAATCTATTGATAGCAAAGAATTCGTGGTATTTCTTCATCCCCCACAAAGGTTGTTGGTTTAAGACTCTTTCTGGACTTCACAAACCTGAATAAGTATTTCAAGATATCAAAATTAAGGATTTTCTCCTTTAGAAAGAATCACTAGAGCGGGGTGGCCAAACTTACTGACCCTCCGAGCCACATATGACAATCCTCAGAAGTTCGAGAGCTGGAGTGCGCCTGCTGGGACTCGGGGCTTCAGCCCCATGGGAGGTGCCTGTTGGGTCCTGGGGCTTCAACAGGAGTGAGGCTGAAGCCATGAGCCCCAGTAGACGTGCCCCGTGGGGCTGAAGCCAAAGGTCACATAACACCCCCATTTTTTTTTGCCAAAGTTTGCTGACCTTGATGCATTTTGAATTCCAAGGATTTGGGAAAAACCAAACCTAGTAATAGCTGCTTGGTTCTAAAAAGGACCATAGCAAATGAGACTTATATTTTGTCTCAATCCAGTTGGATATATAGAGCTTAGCATGCTTTGGGGGCAATGTTGTGTTAGAAACAGAATGTTAGAAAGCAGTTTGTGGGAGGAATTGCTCAGATAACAATAAAGGCAGCCAAATGGCTTTTTTGTTTATACAAGTTATAGCATTATTACTGTAAGGTCAAGGGATTTACTTTTCTGTTTTAAAAAGCGTGAATACTGTTTGAAAAGCATATTTTTCCCTGCAACTATTAAGTTCACTTGTATCTATTTGGGGATAGGAGTTGATATTCTCTCTCTCTCTCTCTATCTATCTATATATCCCATATCTCTCTGTTTCCTTGGATTGCCTGTCAGTATCCATCTGTTGTCTCTTGTCTTATACTTGGATTATAAGCTCTTTGGGGCAGGGACCATTTTTTGTTCTTTGTTTGTCAGAGTGCCTCGCACAGTCGGGTTCTGCTCCTTGACTGGGGCATCTAGGCACAATGGTAATGCTAATTAATAGTAAAACAAACAAGTAAACAAAAAAAATCTATGCACCCATCCTACCCAAGAAGCTTGCTTTGATACTAAATGTAACTGTCTGGTTACTGGAAGGCATATATTAGGACAGTGTTTCTCTTTTCGTGTGTTCACAGCTGCCTGGGTGGTGATGGGGGGTGCGGGGGAGGGGACAAAGCAGTATCACCTCTCGCACCCTGCCCTTCTCTGGAGCCACAGATGCTAGAGGAGAAGGCAGCCGATGTGAGTTCACCACCTTGCCGGGTGCAGTGGGACTTGGGTTTCCGGCTTCAGCCGTGGGGTGGCAGGCACCATCACCTGGCTCTGTCCCCTGGCTTAACCCCACCCCTGGCCCCCCGCTGCCTCCTCTGGTCCTGGGTTATGGCCACATGGTGGCGGGCTCCGTCCCTCAGCCGAAAGGTTTCAGGCTGTGGCTGCGGGGCCACCAGATCCAGCCCCAGCAGCCAAGTGGTGGCGGAAGTGGGCTAACCACCCCCTTCCAATTGCCCCTGGCCCCTGCTGCATTCTCCAACTTCGGGTTTCAGCCATGTTCTCAGATCCTGGCTGCGTGGTGCCAGCCACCAAGCTTTGGGTTCCGGCTCTGGCATCCAGCTGCATGGCAGTGGGTGCTGGCCAGGGGCTCACCAACCCACCCCCATCACCTTTGGCCCCTGTTGCCTCCCCACTGATCGGCTCATCCACGGCTTAATTTGTCCCCTGGCTTGCCATGGCTGAGTAAGTCTGTTGTGAAGAGTGATATTTGTATGGTTTGTTAATATCACTTTTTGCTACCTCCCAGCTAGCTAGCAAGTCTGCTGCTGTGACAAATGATATTAACAAATGTACAAATATCACTTTTCAAAGAAGCAGACTTACTAGCTAGCAAGTCTTTAAAAAAAGAAGCAACCAAAAAAGCAAAAGAAACTACAACAGCAAAAGACAAGAACGTGAAAACTTATTTGTTTTTATTCTGTTTAGGTCCAGTAAAGAATAGAGGCAACTGTACATTATTTTTATTATTGAGTCTGCAAAAAAAACCCAACAACCCTATATCAGTGTTCCCTTTAATTTTTTCCATCCATGTGCAGAAAGAATTTTATGTGCCCCATATTGAGATAATGTGCGGATGTGTGCCACCAGCAGAAACCAAAAACCTAGATATAATATATATTTTTCAAAAATTACCATAAGGATAATTACTACAGTCAGGACGGGTTAGGCATTTTAGAACTCACTACTCAAAGAATTAAATTTAAGCATAAGAGAGGAATAAAGATTATGAAATGCATAGACCAGTCAAAAAACTAAAATAACACACATTGGAAGAAGTAACAACAGTAATACAATGTGTTGGGAGGTGAGTGTGAAAGACTGTGTGTGGGGGGGGAGGGGGGGGAGCCTTGTCTCTACTTACTGTGGATCAACGCTGCAGCGATGGATCCACTGGCGGTTGATTTAGCGGGTCTAGTGAAGACCCGCTATGTTGACTGCTGATTGCTCTCCGATACTCCACTGGAACGAGAAGCATAAGGTAAGTCAACGGGAGAGTTTCTCCCGTCAACCTAGGGCGGTGTAGACACCACAATAAGTTGTCCTTAAAGTATGTTGACTCCGGCTACATTATTCACATAGCTGGAGTTGCGTAATTTAGGTTGACTTAGCCCCATAGTGTAGACCTGCTCTCAGAGAGACCTGCCCTTTTAAGTAGATTGGCATGTTCTGATACAGCAGCAGTTGCCAGCAAGCTTCCCTCTCCCCCTGCTCTGTGGAGATGGGGTACAGGAGAGGGCAGAGGAGGACACCCTGACATCAGTGCCCCCTCCCCCTCCCGCGCAGCAAGCAGGACGCTCCCGGGAGCAGCTTCAAGGCAGTGGGCAGGAGCAGTATGGCAGTGGGGGGAGGGACATCTGAAGTGTGCAGCATTTGATAGCCTGCTGGGCACTTGCCCAGACTCACAGCTTAGAGGGAACTTAGCCCTACACGAATAAATGGCAATGGACATGTATATTTGCATATTTATTTGTTTTTTTTCTTAAAGTGAATTAAGTACTTCAGGAAAAATTCTCAGAGTGGCCACCAGCAAGAGTTGGTGGCTGCACTCTGAGGCCACCAAAAAATTTGTTGTGAGAACCCCTAAGTTAATGTATATGCATTATGAAGAGAACCCTGGATATCTATCCAACCCCTAAAGTGTCTCTTTTACTCTAGCTGTGGTTTTGATGTTATTGAAAGCTAATTTGTAAGTTTTAACTTTAATATAAAGTGTATGTTTTTTTTTTTCATTTAATACAGTAGCTTACTGTCTTTGCCATTCTTCTGTTTGTAGGATCCTGTGGCCCAGCCTCTAATGACGTCTCCTGCTAACCTGATGCAACCTGTTGATAATAAATGGAAGAATGTAAGTATAGAGATTTTCTTAATTTATTTGTGTCAGTACTGAGATGGCAGGCATGTTAAAAGGGGAATTGCAGCTCTCAGAACTTTGCAAACATTTATTAATATTATGTATTAACAAACACACAGTCCTCTGGAAGGTGGATTGATATTTGATTAAAGGGCCTTATATAATGCTGTGCCCAATTTGTGAATGAAAATCTGTTAATTCTTGTAATTGGTTAATTCGGAGTATAACAAGTCAATTCATAAACATTTCCTGATAACTGCATACACAACTCCATGCAAAAACTCTTGGAAAACACATGTCAGATACTCCCATTCCAGTCTCTGTATGGTGGGTAAGATGACTAGTGTACCATAAAAAGGGTTCTAAAAGCATTAGGGAGTGCATCCATTAGGGAGGACTCATGCAATGCAGGAACTGTGGAAGAGAACTTCAAGGCTGCGTTCCCAGGACTCTCTAGGAAGCACCAGCATAAGAGCTGGTGGCAGACGGTGTACTTTGAAATGCTTTTTTAATATATCATTTTATAATTAAAACCCCCATCCCTGACCTTCATAAAAGGCAGTTGTCTTTTAAAATATATTGCTTTCTTTGGAAGATTTCAACTTGTTTTGTTGAATCAGTCTCTACAAGCTCAACTACCTTTGTTTGGTGGAAAGTGGGGAACTTACAAATAATCAAAAATAAGTAGATTACCTGAGAGGAGAAAGGTATTGTTATAGAGAAGAAATAAAATTAGGACTCAAAAATACTTTCTTACGAAGGATATTTTAGCTAGAATGCTTTGGAATACAGTATACATAGTCCATTAGGTTTGCAAGTGGCATTCCTTATATATTTTGCATGACAGCTTGGTGCTTAAGAAAGACAAGGGCTTAATATGAATAAGATGCAGTTGTCATGTATGTAAATGCCAGATTATTCAAAAGCTTTCAAACAATACTCAAGGGAAAACTTCGCCAGAAGCTGGGAATGGGCGACAGGGAATGGATTACATGATGATTACCTGTTCTGTTCATTCCCTCTGGGGAACCTGGCATTGGCCACTGTCAGAAGACAGGATACTGGGCTAGATGGACCTTTTGTCTGACTCAGTGTGGCCATTCTTATGTTCTTAACTGGTCACCCGTTTTTCCCCTCTTATCATTAATGGATAGGCGAAACCATTTCTTATGCAGCTGGTGATTAAGCAGTCAGTGAGCACCCTGGTGGTCGGAATTTACATTGCTTCTAGCCTTTGCTGCTTCCTCATTATAATAGAGATGTTGAGTGGGGCTCCAGAAAGAAGCAGGTGTTCAGAGAAAGGAGTCCGCTAATTAGTAACTCAGCAACCAGAGCAGAATCAGCAGTGAGCAGGTGGCTAGCAAAGACTGAGTGGTAGAGATTGAGGTGGAAACTTTAGTCTACTGTACTTCTTTTTTTTCCCTCAGGACTTCATCCCCAGAACAGTTGATGAGGGCAGGTATTTCAGCCACATAGTCACCTGATTAGCATTCCCATTGCTATATACATTTGCTCTTGGTAAAAACGTCAGATTTTCATATGTTATTGCCTACAACTCAAATTTGAAGTCAGTGGGTTGCACCTCTCAAAATTGGGTATTAAGTCTCTTAGGCTCTTAAGTGTGAAAACTTTTGTAAATATTTTGCTTTCACTAAAATGCACTTTTTTTTTTTTGTAAATGGTACAAACCCTTGTTGATTACGGGTCTGACAAATACAGTTCTTTACTATTTTTATGATAGGAAAGAGTAAAAGTGTTTTTTTTTTTTTTTTTAAAAGCTAAACAATACCATGCTTTCTTATTCTTAAAAGGACTGGATGGCAGACCTCTTTATTATGGAATAGTAATAAAACATTTGGCTCTTTGTGCTGTATTATAAGTTGGCTACATGATAAGCATTCAAAGTTACAGCCTGGAAGGAAATCTTGGCACTTTTATAAATATAATGGGGGAACATTATGGAAATGGTAACTAAAACTTTTCTGTGGTTTCATTGAAACATTATGACCTATGTGTGAACATATACAAACATACATAACACCTAGTCTAATGTGTAAGTGCAGATGCACACACATGCTGTCTAAATTGTCTAATCGATTGTTTTCCCCTTAATATTATGTTCCGCCAGCCCTTCAATGAAGGGTTATCCTCCTCTTGCTGAAGAACGGGCAGCTTATAGAGCTGTCAAACTAAGACTGCTTGCTCCTCTAAGGACCTCTGCTACATTCTGCTCCCAGAAAGTACTATTTCTGAAGTTGTTGCACCTCCGTATATAAAATTGTTTTCTGTGGTCTAACAGCAGTAAGTACAAAATGAAGAATATATGTATTATTGTTAATCTGTTTAGACAGAGTTTCTGTCAAATTGAGATCTGAGCAGAGATCGTGCCACCCTGATCCTCAATAAGATGAACAAAGATAAAGACTGTGTGTGTGTGTGTGTATGCACAGGGTGACAAATATCTATTCTTGTGAGTGTCAGCTCACTTTTTTTAATGTTGATTCAGAACTATTCATCCAATTCCCAGGAGGGAACTGCAAGGTGAAACAATTTTTTTTTATCCTAATCATTTGGAATCATCACAAAATGTGAAGGCAAGGTCTTTACCCTATCAGGTCTGCAAGAGAGTGTTTCAGCTATGGAAAGAGCCGTGGAGGAATAGCTTTTCAAGATGGAAAACAAAATTACAGTGAAAGACTAAGTGAAATTCATCCTGAACCAACTTTGGTAGTATGCAGACAGGACTCTACTTAGTGCACCCTGAAGCGATAAGGTGGCTTCTCATTGCTTGAGGAACAGAAGTGAATATTAGTCTGTGTATGCTCAAGAACAGAACTGCATGGCCAGCGAATGTATGTTGCAGTATCCTTTTAATTGTTAAGGAAATAAAAGAAAAGCTCTCTGAGTAAGTGTATATTCGAGTGGTTTTCAAGTTAAGTGGAAAGAATAAGGCTAGCCACCCTGTTTGTTTTATTCCAGGTTTTAAAAAGGAAAAATAAAATTAGCTGAAGAATGAGTCCTTGGATTTCTTCTTCACCCTTCTTTCTAAGGATGAAGAGAAAAGAAAAAGGGAGCGAGCCAAGATGGGTGGAGAAGTTTGATTTTTAGACTAGAACAAAAATTATTTTCATCATTGTACTTTGTCATTCAAAAGTTATTTAAATTTTTGGAGTAAAAAGAGGTTGAATCAAAGAAGTGAAGAAACTGAAGGAGGCATTACCTTTATAGTTCAGAGAGGATGTTTTATGGTCTATTACTTTCTAGCCTGGAACAGGTTATTACAAGGAGGATGAATTTCCTCATATAAAGGCAGAAGATTGTAGATTAAAACAAAATCAAAAAGATAAACCTGACTTGTCTGAAGAATGTTGCTGTATTATCACTATCTTTTTTGTTTTTGTTTTTAAATTAATAACCTTGTAATTGTTATTGAAGGAGATTTTCCAAGGGACTTGGCATATAAAGTGAGGGAGGCTTTTAAGAAGAAAGCAATCAGTACCCTGTGCCTTTTGTTCATTTAGACCAAAATATTTCTGCAAAGAGCTGAAGAATTGATCCCCAGTACGGATAAATCTATAAAATTGTCTTTCGGATCATGTCTATTTTATTTTTCTTTGTGGCAGGTGCCCCCAGGTACTCTCTTAAAACAAACAAACTCCAGATGGCTTGCTGGCAGAAGATAGTGTCTCAACTATAGTGACTGAGACGTAAAACTGAGAGCCAAGTAAAATAATTGTTAGCTTCTGCTGAATACCAAAGTGTCAGATAAATAGAAGAGCACTATCTGTCAACAGGAAGTGATAAAAGGTGGTCTCCTGCTTAAAGCAGATGACAGGGACACTGGAAATCTGCAAAGCACCCTAAGTATGAAGTAACTTTATTAGAAGTAATAACTTACTCTATACAATACAATAAAAGTTGTTTGAAAGAAAGTGGTAGAGATGGGACCAGATGGCTCACCTTTGTTGGCCACTTTCCTACAATGAAGGATTGGTTAAGGAGGCCTGTAATATAAGGCAGTCTTGTGGGCAGACTGCAGGCGGAGAGCCTCCAATTTCCCCTCTTGGACTGTTGAAATAAAACATCACCAAGGTTTTTTCTTGGTCAGAAATACCTCTCCTTGGGGACTGAACATATTAACCTAAATAAAACTTCAAAGAAGAATCAAGATTCCAAAACAAAGTCCATACAGAATGAAGGTTTTGCTTCCATACTTTGGTAGACCACTCCAGGCCCTATGTGGCTGGACTCTCAGTCCTAACTCCTGGGACTTTCTTCTGGAGCCTGCTCACTCCTAGCAGTCTCTGATCCCTGAGCATTCCCCCCTTCTTGCAGCTTCCTGCTGATCTTTATAGGAAATCTCCTGATTTCTCCAAATGTGGCTTCTTAGTAATCAGGGTTGGCTGTCCCAGGTCTTCCAGCCCTGTACATGGTTTCAAGGGGAAAAGGGAAATCCTGGATGGCCACTGTTGACTTTCTTTCTCAGCAATAGGTCTACCAATATGATTATACACTTATTCACAGAGAGTTTATTTTATATAATTTGTGGACTGTATTCCCAATTCACACATATATACAATAGTCTGTTTCACAAAGGCTTAACAGTTGAGTTTAACTCTGAAACTGTGTATCACAGAGGCATCATTACTTTTATTAAATATGCTAGACAGTTTACTAATATACTTACGTATTTTTGACAAAAAATAAAAGCTTTTTGAAGTATTTTTTGTGATTACATTTATTTTTTTGTGTACCCTTACTTGCAAAATTCAATCATTCAAAATAGGTCCCCAAGCTGTGAGAATGGGTGAGGGGCCAATATTTTATCATAAACTTAATTCAAGCTGTAAGCTTACAGCTGTATAGCTTGGGGAAAACTCCTTCCGGAAGGAGACTAGAGGAGCAGTCTTTTAGTGGAACAGCAGTCCTTGAATGACAGCTCTGTAAACTCCCCAGTCTTACATGAGTGGACATCCCCACAATGGACAATTAGCAGACATATTTCAGATAAAGAAAATAGACTGGTAAGTCAAACTTTTTTTATACTTATCTCTTTCATTTTCCTTTACACATATACTGCTGTATATTTCAGGCCACACATTTTCGGTCTCCACTTCTTCAACAGACAGAAAACCAAGTAACTTCAGCTGCAGGTCAACAAGGGCAACAGGCTGTAACAGATGTCATCCAGCAGCTCCTTGAGCTGTCAGAGCCAGGTCCAGTAGAAAATAACCAGCCCCAGCAACCTGGCCAGCAACTCAATATTGCAGTGGGACTCAATCGAGACATTTTGCAGGTAGGGCGTATTTACATAATAAGTAGTGTCTTTCAACAGTGTCTTTGTAATTATCTTATCTTTCTAGTGAAATCAGCAGTTGATTACAACAATAAAGTGTTTGTATGCCTGAATTGACTTCTTTGCGTAACAGGAAAAATTGAAATAATGAAAGTGCAGAGTGCAGCAAGATGTTTCTTTGGCCCCATTATGCGATCAGATTGGAATGCAGTAAATACTAGTTGGAAGTGAATGACACTAAATATTTTTTAAAATTAAGGTTGTCCTTTTTTTTGTTTTGTTTTTCTGTGGTCCATGGACTACTTGTGACATTCAAGGACCTAAATTGCAGCCATCCAGGATGAGCATGTTAAGAAATTTTCTATTTGATTATGAATTGAGAATTTGTTCCCTGAGCTGCACCCTGTGATGTTTAAGCTGGACTATTTGGATGAACCCTCTCTCAAACTCATTGCTCTCCAATTGCCTCTTAATGCTTCTTTTGTAGCATCCGGGGCTCAGCTGGAAGAAAGGGAACAGAACAGGATAGAAAACATTCATCTTAAATAGTGGTCGTGGCCCCTTGATCTTTCTCAGATCTATTCAGTCTTCAAGCTGAAAAGGTTGCGCAGGATTTATGTATTAGTGTCTCTTCTCTTGAGCACCAGCCAACCACAGTATTCATCTGAACCCCTTTTTGAAACATTCAGGCCTTAATTCTGCAATGCGCTGTTATCCCTGAGCAGAGCCCTATCAGGTCAGTGGGGTTTTCTGCGGATACAATGAAATAGGATGAAAGCCTAAGGGCTATCTACACTACAAACTTAGGTCAGGTTAATTATAGCGCTCAGGTCAGGTTAATTATAGCTGTGAAAAATTTTAGAGCCCTGAGCGATGTAACTAAGCTGACCTAAGCCTCAGTGTAGACACCACTAGATTGATGGGCTAGCATTTGTAGTGTAAACATACCCTTATTCTATGAATCCTAACTACCCTCTCCCCACCAAAAGAGAAGAAATTGTTCTGCTTTGAGATTAGTTTTTCCAGTTATTGGATGTATAGGTCTGTATTTTTGGAGTACAATTTAACATATTATCTCTCCAACTTTAATGGAATACAATTTAAAAAAAAATCTAGTTCTTATTGTTTTTTTAAATTAGAAGTAACTGATAAAAATGAGAATTTGAATGGAGATTTAAGAGAAAACATCTTTTTAATTGGACTTTGTAGATCTGATTAGTTTTCTGGGGAGTCATTGCTTGTACACATTGCTGGAGAAAATCCAGTTCCAGTCGAATAATGTAATGTACACATATTACTGGAAAAAAACAGTTCCAGTTGAATAATGTGATTAGCTAAACATATTACTGTTTACCACCTTTGTACAGGAAAGATCTCTAAATCTTTGCAATTTTGAAATTCAGCTAAAATTTTGTAGTTGTAAGAAACTTGATTAAATGCCATTAATCATAACTGTATTGAATCTCCTTTATAGTTGTTTGAGCAGAGGTTTAGAATAACTTGTGTAGTTTTTCTTTCCTAATCTTCTAGTTTTGTTTTGCCTTAGCAAGCCTTAGAAAACAGTGGGCTATCTTCAATTCCAGTCTCAGCACATCCTACAGACTGCAGCCAGGCTAAGAATCCTACAACTCAGGATCACAATCCAGATGTTCAGAATCTTTCTAGTCATCAAGCTGACCCTAATAATTCAGAACAAGATAAAGAGCAAGAAAGCCCAGATAAGATGGATAAAAAAGAGAAAAAGGTTATAAAGAAAAAGTCACCATTTTTACCTGGTAATGTTGGAAATGTTTTCTACATACAACTTTTGTGCAGTAATAACTACAATATCTTACAGTTCTCTGTAGCACCTGTCACTGTAGTATATAGGAACTTCCTAAAACACATGCAGTTGATATATCAATAAAATGCTTATGGAATTTCAAAACCACTAATACTTTATTTGTTTTTAACAGACCTTGTGTGTGCGCACTGGTTTCCATTTTCTCTACCCCATTCTGTGCATCCAAGTTTGGATTTTTCCTATTCATCCTTAGATCAGATTGAAGATCAGTACAGTAAAGGCATTGCCGGTACTACTTCAGTGCCAGTTGGTTGGAGTTCTGTGACAAGCAATACTTAAGTTTCTGCTGCTCAGAGTTTAATAGTCATCTTATGTTGCTTATTCTTTGTGTAGGAAGCAGAGACTTACAGTTGATCCCAAAACAGGAATCCCATGCCCTACAGCATTCTTCAACCAGCTCGGACTGTCTGGCACACTCCGACCACTTACATCCCCATCCCCACGGGAGCAGAGAAAAGAGGTACTATGTGCCTGCAGAGGGGTTTGAGTTTCTGTTCTTTCACCCATCTCCCCCCCCCCCCCATCCAATTCCCTGGTCACAGAGGCAGCGGTGGAGCGAGTCTGGCAGCACCACCCATGCTCCACCTTAGTGGCTAAAGAGGGCAAGTGACTGGACCTTCTGGGTCAAAAGGTCTTGTCCTCTGTCAGCCTTCAGTTTCAAATCTCAAATTACTTGGCTCTATTCACTAAATCAGCGGTTCTCAAACTGTGGGTTGGGACCCCAAAGTGGGTCAATGGGTCACCAGGGATGGATTAGCCTTGCTGGGGGAATGTTTGAACCTGTTCCTATGACCTATGAGGATGCAGGGTTCTATTCCACCTATTTCCTGGTTCTCAAGAAGAAGGGCGCGTGGAGACTGATCTTAGACCTCAGTCATCTCAACCACTTCATATGCAAGCCAAAGTTTTGTATTGTCATCCTAGCAGCCATCATACCTTTGCTAGAAAAGGACATATGGTTTACGGCTCTTGATATGCAGGATGCTTTCTTTCATGTAGACATCCATCCTACCCACAGACATTTCTTTAGATTCATGGCAGGTCCTCAATACTTCCAATACAGGGTTCTATTGTTTGGACTCACCAGTGCTCTATGGTCTTCACCAAAGTTTTCTCGGTAGTAGGGACACATCTCCATGTCAAGGGATCATTATATTCCCTTATCTCAACGACTGACTGATAGCAGCGTGATCCAAAGCAGAGGCTCGAGTCTTAACCTCCATGATCTTCACGTTCCTCTCCTCACTGGGGGTGAGTGTAAAGGTTGAAAAATCAAGTTTTCATCCCACACAGTCCCTAGAATTCATTGGGGCCCACATCGGTGTAGTCTCTGCATGTGCCTACCTACTGGAGGACAGCTTCCAGACTCCACAAGAACCAGTTACCAAGGTGGTCTCCAATCCTTCTGTTCCGGTCAGGATTTGCCTTTCCCTTGGTCACATGGCGACCTGCACGTACATTACCGCCTTCTCTTGTCTTTGCTTTCACTGCCTGCAGCTGCGTGGCTCTGAGGGCCTATTCTCCTGTGCACCATACCATGGACTTCCTACTGACAGTTCCCCTGCCCCCAAGATTGTCTCCTCCCTCTAATGGTGGACAAACCCAGGTCATGTCTGTATCAGGATAGCCTTCTTCTCATCATCACCAAGCATGACGATTGTCATGGACGTGTCACTCATCGGATGGGGCGCCCACATGGGTGAGCACATGACACGGGACTTGAGCCACTCAGGTAGAGTGGCCAGTTTTGGTTTGGATGTATTCCTGGAGATTCATAATTTTTAATTAAGGATTAATCTTTAATTCCTGGAGACTCCAGGCCAATCCTGGAGGGTTGGCAACTGTACACTCAGGAATCCCAAATGCATATCAACATCCTGGAAATTCAGGCAGTACGGAGAACATTTAGTGCATTTCTCCCATCCATTCACTCCTGTCATGTTCTCATTGTGTTGGACAATTACCCCCACCATTTCCTACATCAACAAATGGGACCATGATGTTGTCAGTGCTCTGTGCGGAAGTTGTTTGTCTTTGGGATTTGTGCATTACCCACAAAATCCTGTTGTCAGCAGTGTATCTTCCTGGGACTCGGAATATAATGTTGGACTCTCTCAGCAGGAAATTCATGGCTGACCATGAATGGGACCTTCATGACACTGTGGCTGCTGACCTTTTTGACCGCTGCGGGACTCCGACCTGGGACTTCCTGCATCCCACACCAACAGCAAATGTACCCAGTACTGCTCCAGGGGCTGGGCGGGGGGTGGAGAGGAAGAGGAGATCAGCGCCCTTTCTCAAGGCAGTGCCCTAGTTATCCGCTGGTCAGACCAAATCATTTATGACTTTCCTTCCCTACTGCTCCTGCCACACGATCAGACAGGAGAGAGCGATGGTCATTCTGATTGCCTCATTCTGCCCTCACAGTTTCTGGTTTCCCCTCCTCCTGTGCATGTTGACGTGTCCCCTGTTTCCACTGTCAGTTTTCTTGGAACTCCTCACGCAACATGGCTGCAGGATCAGGCATCTTAATCTGTAGATGCTTCACCTAAGAGCTTGGTTTTTGAACAGACATATTCCTCTAGAGCAGGAATGTTCATCAGCTGTACAAGACATCCTCTCAAGTAGCAGAAAAGAGTCCAAGAGGTGGGTCCTATAGGGCTGAATGAAAGCGTTTCACCCTATGGGCCCAGCAGAGGGGTTTTGCCCCTGAGCACATGGCCATCCCTCCTCTTCTGGACTATCTCCTGTCCCTCCTGCTTCAGGACTTGCTCTCAACTCCGTCAAGGTTCATGTAGCCACTGGCAGTGTCTTGCACCCTCTTGTGGAGGGGCATTCTGTCTTTACGCATCACTTGACTACCAGGTCTCCTCTAGACTTAGCCGCCTGTTCAACCCTTTGCTCTGCAATGGGACCAACCATTCCCCCAGCAAGGCTAATCAGTTTTGTCCTCTCGGTATTGATGAAATTGCCCTTTGAACGTATGGCCTCCTGCTCCCTGTCTCTCTTTTCCAGGAAGGTTGCCTTCCTGGTAGCTATTACTTCTGCAAGAAGGGTAGGCGAACTGGAGGCTATAATGGAAGACCCTCCTTTTACTAAGTTCCCTAAGGACAAGGTTTCCCTGCACTTACAACCTTTGGCAAAAACTTGGAGTGTATCCCGCTTTCATCTCAACCAGCCCATACACTTACCTGCTTTCTTTCTGAAGCCTCACACTTCAGCGAAGGAACAGCACCTTCACTCCCTCAGTGTCCACAGGGCCCTGGCCTTCTATCTGCAGAGGATGAAATCATTCAGAAAGTTCCCTAGACTGTTTATTGCTCTAGCGTCAAGTGACCTTCACTCAAAGGGATCTCTATGTGCCTTTCGGGGTGCATTATGCTCTGCTATTAGTTATCGTTACTGTCATCACCCCTTGGGGTATAAGTCCATTCCACGAGAGTGCAAGCATAGACTACAGCTGTGCTTCACAATGGACTGATTATGGACATATTTAGGGTGGCCACGTGGAGTTCGGTACATACCTTCTCTTCCCATAAGCCTTAGTGGAAGACTCTACGATGGATGCCTCATTCGGCGTGGCTGTTCTCCATTACATGATTTCATTGTCTTCCTCGCTCTTTCCTTCTAACCAGGTACTGCTTGTTAATCACCCTCAGTGGAATACAATAGAGACATCGCTCAAAGAAGAGGAGATTACTTATCTGTAACTGGAGGATCTTCGAGATGTATGGTCCCTACCTGTATTCCAGCCCTGCATTCCTTCCCCTCTGTTGCGGATCTGTTTGATTTGTGGTAGTGAAGGAACAGAGGGCACGGTTGGTCCATCCTGTCCTTTATGTCTTTGGACGAAACCATGAAGCAGAGCAAGGGTGCATGCATGGACCAACGGATGCTACTGCTTTTGAAATCTCCAGCTCTAGATGCATGGTGCATGCATATAACTCTTGGTGGAATACAGATAGGAACTACGCATCTCGAAGAACCTCCAGTTACAGATAAGTAACCTCCTCTTCTCCAGAGTGGCATAGGCTGAAGTTCTGCTTGGCTAAAGCCAAGTTCCAGTGCATCTACTAAACTCTCTGGAAGGGAAGTTTCAGTTCTCACAAGCTCTAAATTATCTGCTGACATATTAGTGCTTGAGGAATGGCTGCCATCTTGGCTGAAACCAGAAACTGAACTGAAGACCTCCAGAGCTAAAAGCATGAGTCTCTACAGCCTCAGCTAAAGAGCCTGGCTCTCTAGCTTACATCTTTAACTGTCCACAGTTGATTGGGCATAGAGGGAAAGAGATAACACACTCCACCTAGTGAGTTACACATTTTGAGATATGTGATTTCCATCACTTATGTGGTACATTACAGTAAAGTAATGAGACATAAAAATTAACACATTATATATAATATATAGAAAATACTACATGTGTAAGAACACTGAATTAAGGTTGCTGTGGGAATTATAATTTTGTAAGTGTAAACTCTCAATTATAACATTGTATTAATAACAATTTCTTTGAAGTTTATTTTCTCCTAGTTTAGTTTCTAGTTTTTCTTATTTTAGTGAAATAATAATTTTGGGTTGTGACATCACAGTCCCTTTCTTTGGGAAAGGATGGGATGTGAGCAAGTCAGCATTATGTCTTAACTGCCTAATCAAATCCACTGTGCAACCGTCTTAAATGATGTTAAACTGTGTCTACATGGGCACTGAGAGGGGAGTTTGAGTTGACTTTAGCTACCTCAGGTGAGCTAACATGACTGAAAAATACATTGCTTATGTAGAGAATCCCAGTGTTGTCTGATGCTTCTCAGTTTTATAGGGAGTTAAAAGCCTATTAGGTGTGTAGAGCCCATTTCCTACATACCAAGGTATGCAAAGTGTAACATTAATATCAAAAGTAACTTATTTTAATTTTGATTTTTTTAAGATAGCTAGAACAAAGGAAAAACTTTAAAAATATCAGGTGTCAGACATATGAAACTTGTTTTTAAAGAAGTGAATTCTACTGCATTTGAATGGGCATCAAGCAAGTTTGTGAAGACCTGATACGCTGGTGTTTGCAGCTAATACAAATATATTGGAAATGACACATAATCTATAAACAGGATTCTAAACATTAAGACTATTTTGCAAATGTAGGGGATAAAATATGAAAGGTATTAGTAATAAAATTCTTAAATGTAAGATTAAACTTGGAAGAATGAATCCTGTTTCCATGAAAAAGTACATTGCTTAAATTTAATCTTTCAGTTCTGTTCTCCTTTTAAAAATTTAATAAGAACAAAATTCTGATTTGTAGGCTAAATTATTTTAAATTCAGTGGTACATGTATAGTATGTTGACTTAAGTTCTTTCAGGGTGTGCACTAAGTTGAATTTCTTTAGGCAGAATGTTCTTAATGTAAGAGAGAATTTTTCTTCAAGTGGCTCTGCATGCTCCCTACCTCGTGCAGTCTAATGGTGGAACCTTCACAAGCAGTGCCTGTTGGGGTGCTTTCTCTTAATACATATTCTTCACAACTCAGAGACAGATGTAGGTTTCATTTTTAGAAGGTACACATGATACATTTTTTAAGTGATTTATTTTGAAAACTTTTCAGATTAGTTTTATAGCTATATCAGAAAATGAATGATTGTTTGGTTATTTCATTTACCAAAGGTAATTGAAGCAGATAGTTCACCTCTCAATGACTTCATAAATATCTCCAATTCAACAGGTTAATCATTAATATTTAGAGGATTTTCTTGTCATGCTGTATTAGGAGGAAAACCTCACCAGATGGACATTTAACTAAAACAACAACGTTATGTATTCTGGATTTTTTTCTTCAACAGCAAACATATAATATTTTAACAAAACAAGCATATGAATTTTTTAATTTAGTTAAACATTCAAGTTTTTTAAAATCAGGTTTGTTTTTGTTAAAATTGTTTTTAACTAAAATAGTTAAATGAAATATTAAAAAAACAAATTAAATCGACTGGGTCAGCAAGGTCAACATGAGAAACTTAAAATATTGGCTTCTGCAGCTAACTCAGTTGTCTTCACCTTCATTTTCCTGTTTGTTCATAATCTGGAAAAGAAGAACAAGCTTTCCTGCTTTTTCAGGTCTCAAACGATTTCTCAATTTGGAATGAATTAGTCCAAAGGAAGAAAATATTCTTTCTACACCAGCAGAAGAAGCTACTGCTGTTAAAAGTGAGATTATCACTTCACCAGTCTCTGAATCCAAGTGCTCAAGTGACTTCCCCCAGTTTACTGGTGTGACTTTCTTTAAAATATCATCAACAAACATATATTTCTTGAACGGTTCACCCTTAGCTATGAAGTTTATTATAGATGGCATTATGGTGGGATGGTAGCTGGTTGTCCATGTCATAGCCAACCCCTCTTCTTTAGAAATTAAGGTTTGACCCTGGTACCGAGTACTGAGAATATTTCCAAGAAAATGAGCTCTAGATAGTGCTTGTCCCATTTGTTTTTTTAATGCATATTTCATTGCATATTTCTATTTTTAAGATCTCTCTCATTTCCTTCCAAATTTCAACAGCGTCAGCAGTAAAACAGCTATTTCTCTGCATTTTGTTCAAGGCTACGGAAATAGGCTTCAGGGTACTCAGCATGTGTTCAACATTTCTCTTAAGCCCAATGTTGAGAACTTTGGCTGTGACAGTGCCATCTATTTTTTCACGATTTTGTTCACAAACTGTCATCAGGTTAGGCCAGTTCTTGATCTAGTGCTCAAAACAGTCCACTGCTGAGTTCCATCGCACGTCTTGGGGGAGAGATAGCTTGGTTCTTCCCATTTTTTTCAGAGCAGCTGCTGCAAAGTGGTTGTTAGGGAAGTATTTTGCAATTTCAACAACAGTAGCCTTTATTTCTAAAACACTGAAGTCTTTGACTAGGAGGTGCATCAAATGAGCACTGCAACCGTATGTTATTCGCTTGGGACTCTCTCTTCTAAATTTCTTCTCATTTTGGTACTAGACCAAGCTGCGTACTAGACATTTGAATTTTTTTTTCACAGTTTGTTATAGCTTTTACTGCTACTTCTTGTAAGTATTCTGGTGTGTGTGCATTTCCTGATGTATCAGTTGTTTCTGTAAGGAAGACATTCCCTTCTTCTGTTGTCACACAGGCACATACCACATGATCATTGTGGACATTGCTCCACCCATCAAGACTTGGGTTAACAGTTTCACCCTCTAGACCAGGGGTGAGCAAACTGGCCCGGGGGGGCCACATCCGGCCCTTCATACGTTTTAATCTGGCCCTCGAGCGCCTGCTGGGGAGCGGGGTCTGTGGCTTGCCCCGCTCCGCCTGTGCTGTGACTCTGCACGGCTCTCAGAAGCAGTGGCATGTTCCCCCTCTGGCTCCTACGCATAGGGTCAGACAAAGGGCTCCTCAGCTGCCATTGGCCGGGAGCCATGGTGAATGGGAGCTGCAGGGGCGGCACCTGCGGAAGGGGCAGCATGCCAAACTCCCCGGCTGTACCTCCCCGTAGGAGCTGGTTTCTGGGAGTTGCTTGAGATAAGCACCATCTGGAGCCTGCACCCCTGACCCCCTCTCACACCTTAACTCCCTGCCCTGATTCCCCTCCCACCCTCTGAACCCTCCCAGCCTGGAGCACCCTCCTACACCTCCACCCCTTGAAGGTGGATAGTTTTCAGAATCCTGTATGTTGAGGATGGATTCTCCTAAACAAAATAAGTCAGTGCAGTTATTTAATTATTATTACCATACTGCTCATTTAGTATTACTCATTGCATTTACTGACACTCAGTACTACTTTAAAGGTGAAATTGTAAAAGGAAGATCTGCCTATTTCAGCTATTTATTTTTTTTTATCACAACTGCATCTAAAATGATAGTACCATAGAGTACCCCCCCCCCCCCCCCCCCCCCCCCCCCCCCTCTAATACCTATTCCATGAAGAGATATCTTTGAGCTGTAATGTATCTTAATTAAAACTATCTTTAGATAGGTTTTTTCCTCAAAAAGCATTTTATCAAAATCCGATTTTTAAAATTTTTTTTTAAAAAATCATTGATTTTTATCCATTCTGGTATGCTATGTTTAAATCCTGTCAACACAAATATACAGCTCAAAAATGGCTAATACATGATATACTATTCCCATACACTCACTCCACACTGTAGAATAAAACGTTACTATAGGTGTATTTTGTTGTTGGTTTTTTGTCCTCTTTCGTTACAGGTATGTTCGTAACTATGATTAAATAGGATTATCTTCATTTTATTTTAATCATATTTCTATAAGCAGTATTTACTCTAAGGGGAAGGTATCTGAGAAGTGCATTACACTTTGTTTACTAAGTCTTGGCAAGCGTCTTCAGTGCTCATTTTTAATTCTCATCTTTTGTGTGACAATGTCAGTTTATCAGATTATTTATTAACTTATACATATATATAATATATACAAATATCTAATTTCAGTGTTATTTATTTCAGGTTCTGTACGTGAAGAGAATGGAATAAGGTGGCATGTTTGCCCATACTGCTCTAAAGAATTTAAAAAACCCAGTGATCTAGTGCGCCACATTCGAATTCACACGCATGAGAAGCCATTCAAGTGTCCCCAGTGTTTCCGCGCCTTTGCTGTGAAGAGCACTCTCACAGCACACACAAAAACACACACTGGCATTAAAGCTTTTAAGTGCCAGTATTGTATGAAATGTTTTTCCACCTCAGGAAGCTTAAAAGTTCACATTCGTCTGCATACAGGTAAGGCCTGTGAGTTATCCTTATGGTTTTATATGATGTTCAGAAGACCTCCAAGAATAGTGGATAGAGTTTGGTGTGTAGATATGAAGGCGATCAGATACCTTCATAAATATTGAATATAGAATGGAGTATTTTGTCTCTGACAAATAATGTCATAAGAATTTAAATGGTAGCCCTGTTGAATTCTTGTATTTTAAACGTTTATTCACCAAATATTTTAACTTGTTCATGTCCCGGTTCTCATTGGTGTATGACTTTTTTCACACCCTTTTCTCTTCTAAACCACAACTGTCCGCCTATGTTGTTTCCTTCCTTCACTCTTGTTTTTCATTTTCTCCTGGAACATATACATGGAGGGCCAGTTCTTTAGCTATTTCAGGCCTCCAGACAACAACCCTTACTTGAGTTATGAAGCTACTGAATCACTGGAGGTGGTAGAAGCTTGTACACCTGAGTTGAAAGCTGCTAAGTGCAGTAGTTCTGAGATTCCAATTTTGTGGTATTCTAGCATGGAGTTCACCCTTCAGGCATTCCTACTGGCTTGTAGTTGTTAGTGAAGAGTGTGCCACATAGTCACTACTCCCTCTTCCCATCAATTTGGGAATTTTTGTTCCAGGTTTCCCTCTCATTTATGGAGCGTGGATGGAAATATCTATTCTTTACTTTTAGGTTAGCCATGTACTTAAACAGAACACACATAATCTCCCATTTCTGCTCTCTACCCTAAGTCAAAATAACACACACATCCTCCCCGCATTTGGTCATGTCAGTCTCTGTAAGCACACGGTTATGATTTTACTATTTGGATGCCATAGCTTTTATTCCTGGGGACATGGAAGTAAACCATGTAGTAATATATTTTAATTTCTTCCAGGTGTTAGACCTTTTGCTTGTCCTCACTGCGATAAAAAGTTCAGAACATCTGGCCACAGGAAGACTCACATTGCTTCACACTTTAAACACACTGAACTTCGAAAGATGCGACATCAGCGTAAACCCGCAAAAGTTCGAATAGGAAAGACCAGCGTTCCTGTACCGGATATTCCTTTGCAAGAACCCATACTCATCACTGATTTAGGTGAAGACTGAGTTAGTATGTGCTGTAACTTGCTCATTGTAATCCTGAAATTTGGGTTTAGAATGAAGTAGAGTACACTATTAAGCAAAGGCAGTCTATAAACTCACTAAATAAGATGCACCTGCAATTAACTGTTCAGCAGCTGCAGAGAAAGCTGTACTGTGTCAGCTGTTTGAATTGAAAGCGTACTTTATGAATTTATAACAAAGCCTTTTTATATTGATAGAATCCTATAAAGCTTAACCAAAAAAAAAAGGTAAAATATGCAGTGTAGAAAAGGTGAACATATTCATTTGTTTCCTTTAGTTTTTTTGAGCTAATGCTTAGAGAACATAGTCTAAAATTTCCTTAATCTAATCACATTTATTCTTGATAGTTATAATTTTATATGGCTTTAGTGGATTTCATGTAAGTGGGAACTCAATTGAAGTAGTGTTCCATTAGCTATAACATTTTAGAAAGCTCACATGGCATCTTTCTATTCTGGCATAGGATGTTATGTTATTTATCACTTTTTAAAACCATTTTGTTGGAACAGATTAGTTGTCATTCAGCTTTAGATGAAGAATTGTATCATAAATAAGAGGTTGGTGACAGTGGACAAGGGATTGTGATATATATGTACTTACATTTTCACTTAAAAATGGTTGATTTAGACTCCATTAGTGACTGGCAGTTTTCTGCTTTGTCCACCTTAAACTAGATATACTAACCATGGTATTATTTTCAAAACTCCAACCAGAGGACAATAACCACATGAGTTTCAAATGAAAAAGATCAAACTATAGACCTAGAATATTCCTAAATTGTTAAAGATATTAACATGGCCATAACAATCAGATGGGCCCCGTTATTTTATTAATGAAAATAAACCCCACAAATTACTTTTTTTTAAATGAGAAACTGTCAATAAGATCATAGGATTATAAAACTATTTTAGTTACTTATATAATAAAGGTAGCCTCAATAAAAGCCCTGTTTTGTCATGTATATTTTAAATGTAACATTTAAGAGCTTTTTAGAGACTTGGGTCCAAATTCTCTTCCGTGTCCAGTTTCACAGCAATAGATTACCATTTGCAGCTCCTTATTTCTCAGCCAAACTCTGCTGGTGCTGGCATAGTTTAAGCTCTATCTTGATTAGGATTCAAATATGCGTTCTTAAAATGTGTTTGCTAACATGTTCCAAAGCTCTACTGTGGACAAGGCATTGGACAGAGTTGTAGAGTGTGTTAGCAAATGCTTTTGACTAGCACATTTTTAAATGCTAGTCAAGACCAAGCTTAAACTATGCCAGCACCAGCACAGAGCTTGGCTGAGAAATAAGGAGCAACAAATGGTAATCTATTGCAGTGAAGACTGGACACAGAAGAGAATTTGGGCCCAAGTGACTAAAAAGCTCTTAAATGTTACATTTAAAATGCACATGACTGTGCATAGTTTGTCACTGTGTTAGGACCAGCATAGTTCGCTGAGAATCAGTGACAAACATGTTCTAACAATACACCTTTTAAATCTTAGTCCAGACTTCCTTGAAATAGCAATGGGGAGATCTAAAATACTTGTTAGTAACCTGTGCCAAGGGGCTCTCATCTAGCTTGGGATTGTTGGAACATATTGTGCTCCAGCCATGCCTTCTCCCCAACCCAGCTTCCCCCGCCCACTGGGCTATGGATGATGATGGTAGGGGCAATAAAGGAACCATTCTGGGTGAATCCAGCAAGGGAGATCTGGCAGCTTCCAGTTACTTCGCTGTAGTGACACATGGGCTGGGCTTATCAGAAAATTTTTCTCTTTGACATTTTCATTTCCCTTGAACATGGCCTGATCAGTTCATTTTAGTTCTACCAATAGTGAAGAAACACTTTTTCTAAGTTTATCTTACCACAAAAAGAAAGCTTTAGCATTCTTTAAAAAGGGCCTATGAAAAGCTTAATGTACTATGACAGGGTCGGACCAGATGGCTATAGGAGAGTAATAGAAGGCAGATATATTAGCCCCAGGCTAAGTAGGTCCCTTTTCCTGGGGTAAGGTAACAGGGAATGTTCCAGAACAATCAGGAGCCTTCTGGAGACAATTAAGACAGGCTGATTAGAACACCTGCAGCCAATCAAGAAGCTGCTAGAATCAATTAAGGCAGGCTAATCAGGGCACCTGGGTTTTAAAAAGGAGCTCACTTCAGTTTGTGGTGTGCATGTGAGGAGCTGGGAGCAAGAGGCACTAGGAGCTGAGAGTGAGAACGCGGACTGTTGAAGGACTGAGGTGTACAAGCATTATCAGACACCAGGAGGAAGGGCCTATGGTGAGGATAAAGAAGGTGTTGGGAGGAGGCCATAGGGAAATAGCCCAGGGAGTTGTAGCTGTCGCACAGCTGTTCCAGGAGGCACTCTAGACAGCTGCATTCCACAGGGCCCTGGGCTGGAACCTGGAGCAGAGGGCGGGCCCGGGTTCCCCCCAAATCCTCCCAACTCCTGGTCAGACACAGGAGGTGTTGACCTGGACTGTGAATTCAGAAAAACGGCCAAGCTGAGGGCTGCCGTGAAGCTCCAAGGCAAACAAATCCACCAATAAGCGCAAGACCCTCCAAGGTAGATCAGGAACTTTGTTACAGTACATATATGTTGATATCCTTACTGCTGTTTTCACAAAACTTTTTCTATTTTAAATGTAACTCCTTTAGTTACTGGTTTCAGAGGAACAGCCGTGTTAGTCTGTATTCACCTGCACATCCACCAATGTGATATATGCCATCATGTGCCAGCAATGCCCCTCTGCCATGTACATTGGTCAAACTGGACAGTCTCTACGTAAAAGAATAAATGGACACAAATCAGATGTCAAGAATTATAACATTCATAAACCAGTCGGAGAACACTTCAATCTCTCTGGTCACGCAATCACAGACATGAAGGTCGCTATCTTAAAACAAAAAAACTTCAAATCCAGACTCCAGCGAGAAACTGCTGAATTGGAATTCATTTGCAAATTGGATACTATTAATTTAGGCTTAAATAGAGACTGGGAGTGGCTAAGTCATTATGCAAGGTAGCCTGTTTCCTCTTGTTTTTTCCTACCCCCCCCCCCAAGATGTTCTGGTTTAACTTGGATTTAAACCTGGAGAGTGGTCAGTTTAGATGAGCTATTACCAGCAGGAGAGTGAGTTTGTGTGTGTATGGGGGTGGGGGGGATGTGAGAAAACCTTGATCTATGCAGGAAATAGCTCGACTTGATTATGTAAAGAGTTGTCACTTTGGATGGGCTAGCACCAGCAGGAGAGTGAATTTGTGTGGGGGGTGGAGGGTGAGAAAACCTGGATTTGTGCTGGAAATGGCCCACCTGTTGATCACTTTAGATAAGCTATTACCAGCAGGACAGTGGGGTGGGAGGAGGTATTGTTTCATGATTTCTGTGTGTATATAAAGTCTGCTGCAGTTTCCACGGTAAACATCTGATGAAGTGAGCTGTAGCTCACGAAAGCTCATGCTCAAATAAATTGCTTAGTCTCTAAGGTGCCACAAGTACTCCTTTCCTTTAGTTACTGTGAGTTAAAATATTTGTAAATATTTTATATTATTTGTGAAGTAATTTAGTATTGTTTACTTTCTCATTTTCTCTCCGTTGTTGAACTTCAGGGTTTTTCTTGTTTCACAATTAGAATATATAAGATTTGTTTGGCTGTTTCTTAGAACTGACAAAGTAAATTCAGCAGTCAGTTACTTTTCAAACTTGTATTCAGACTGTCATCATTCTCAAAAAATGATTTTCAAATGGTTACTGTTTCTTATAGTTATCATTCCATAGAGAGCAAATAAGTTCCATTTCTCAAAGTTGTGGAAGCATCAATAGTTCTTTTTCGAGTGATTGCACATGTCCTTTCCAGTTCAGGTATGCACACCCAGTGCACCGGAGTTGGAGGTTTTTTTCCTTGGTGGTACCTGTGGGGGCAGCACAGGTGCTTCTGCTGCCTCATGCTGCTGCACGATGGAATAAATGATGGACCCGCCCTAGATGCTAGTTCCTTTTTACTGCACGTGTTTGGTAGTCAGAGGACATTGACTTGCTACTGCACGTTTCTCTCTCCTTACAGAAAAAATATCTTCCTTACTGTACATAGTTAGTGGTATATGTTAGATAAGTAGTGGTTTTTGTTGCTGGTAGTTATTTTTTTTTTTTTTTTGGTCTTTGTTTTCTTGGAGCATCGGTTCCATCTTATTCTCAGGCTGCCAATATTCAGTACAGGGATTTGCGTCAGTCTCTGAGATTTAAGCTGTGTGCCGGCTGCAAAGAATCCGGGGACTGGATTAGGGGACTGGAACACATGAGTTATGAGGAGAGGCTGAGGGAACTGGGATTGTTTAGTCTATGGAAAAGAATGAGGGGGGATTTGATAGCTGCTTTTAACTACCTGAAAGGTGGATCCAAAGAGGATGGATCTAGACTATTCTCAGTGATAGCAGATGACAGGACAAGGAGTAATGGTCTCAAGTTGCAGTGGGAGAGGTTTAAGTTGGATATTAGGAAAAACTTTTTCCCTAGGAGGGTGGTGAAACACTGGAATGCATTACCTAGGGAGGTGGTGGAATCCCCTTCCTTAGAAGTTTTTAAGGTCAGGCTTGACAAAGCCCTGGCTGGGATGATTTAGTTGGGATTGGTCCTGCTCTGGGCAGGGGGTTGGACTAGATGGCCTCCAGAGGTCCCTTCCAACTCTGTTATTCTATGATTCTATGAATCTTTGCCAGTGGGATACCCTTGTTCACCTAAAGTGCCTTGGTAGAAGTCACATTAGAAAACTCTGCCAGATTTGCAGGGACTTGGAGCCCTGGACGAACAAGGACAGAGAAGTGAGACTGCGTCACAATCTCAGGGAGGTTGCCCAGTGTCCCCCTTCAGAACATTCTCACTCAGGGCACGCACCGAATACTTTGGCATCAGGAAGGAGTGGCCCTACGGACATGGCTTCTGAAAGTCAGTGAGAAAGAAATGCAAAAGGACAAACTTGTATAAGCAGCTGAGACTTAGCTCCACTAGATGATCAAGCTCCCCGGTACTGTCCACCATTAAGCACTCAGGAAAGAACAGGGTGTACTCTGGTAAGAGATACTTCCTGGTGCTGACTTCTTCTCATCGGGGGTCGCAGTTTTCTCTTCTTAGGTCAGTTCTTCCCATTGATAACATTATAGAATTCATTACTGCCACTGCAAATCAGTGACTGAACAGGGCGTTACTGAGAATGCTGTGAAATTTAGATGGTCATGTTTTGATATGTGATATAGCAAAATGAATCTTTCCAGTCCTGTTAAATTCACTAATGATCTGTCACTTTCTCCTCTGTCTTGTTTATTGTGCTGACCATAGCCACAGTAATGCATTTGTTCTTTTTGTATTTTGATAGAATCCTTTCTCTATTATCATTGCTTTTCTTGATAGATCATTGTGCTTCTATTGGTTTTAAGAATTCTTACATGTTGCTAATATTTTAGAGTAGACAGTTTGCCTATTCAATTTGTAAAATCTTTTTTCCCTTTGTAAAAGGAAGGTATACATCTTGGTTTCATACCCTCCTACATGTTTTAGTTTTAAGAATCTCTTGACACTAATCATGTTAGTCTACATCAAAAAATGTAGTCCTAGTGTGTAATAATAAGATCAGCCAGGCATTTTGCTTGGAGTGAATTTTTTAGACCAAAGAAGAATTAGAAGCATATTTTGTTCTGTAGTAAAATATCTTCAATGATTAGATTGATTTGATTAAAGTGCACATTTCTGAATGTTAAGAATTGTGAAATATATGGAAAAGTAGGTTTTTTTACAGATACATTGTAATTCCTGCACCTTACTAGGTTTGAAATGTGCTGCGTAGGAATCTGAACTTCTGCTACTCCTCCAACAGGTAGCACATGCACCTTCCCCCTAGTCACATTTAAGTGTTCTGAGAACTATCATTTTCTTTTGTGTGAATGGTGTCAAGAAATTCCAAGCTGCAAATGTCTTTGCTCTGTGGTGGTGGTGGTATGGTTAAACTGTTTCTTGACAGAAAATTAAAAAGATGTAGGTTTTATTTTTTGTTGAAAATATTTTATTCTTTTATTTATTTATTCATGTATCTATTTATTTGTTTGCTTTTGGGTCCAGATATTTTAAGGCAGGTTTCTTTATATGTTCCCTGTGGTATTTTTCATTAAAGTATTGACCAAGAAGTGCCATTATGACTTCAATCACTTTTCTGAATTTGACTGATGTCCAATACTATTGATTCCTGCTTTTGGTTGGGAAGAAATGTTATTTTAAAGAATAAGTTCTCAAAAATATCTAGTTAAGTTGCTGCATCCTGGGTAAAGTGTGTCCTGTCTTTCCTGGCTACCTCAAATGTTTTCTCATTCATCTTATCAATTATAGATATAATTAGAGAATATTTGGGTGTGTTCACAGTTGGAATTTTCATTACTTTTCCAAATATTTGTTCAATGCCAGTGGTAGCATGAGTGATGGTTCTAGTGTGGACTGGGCACATGCTTTCCCACTACCGTACACCTGCCTGTAGTGTGTGTGAGAGATCTCCAAACACTAATTTGTGTGGAGCTACCTGTAAAGTTTAAAATTTGATATGGTAGCTCCATGGATCCTAAGCTGCAAGAAAGGGGATAGAAGCACTATTTTGGAGAGGGGCAAGGATAGGTTTGCAGCAGGAGGTGACTGCCATCTATAGTTGTTAAGTCTCTACTGAGAGGAGTTCCACTTCTATCAAGGTTTAGGAACTGCACAGCAGGAAAAGCATTTGCCAAGTGCAGCTCTGTTCCTGCTTGATTTAGAAGACCCAGATCATCTTCTGTAGACCTCTCCTGGTTCTACCCCACAAAACAGTGCTAAAAGAAATTAATTGGTCACATAGTCTTTTCTTAGCTGCTGTTTTTAATCCCAAAGGATGTTCCTCTCCTCTCGTGCTCTTACCTTCAAGGTAAGCAGTATGCAGCCAGGCAAAAGAAACACTCTGAACTTTCCTTTGTGGGGAGAAATAAAACACCTGTAAGGAAGAAAGGCAGAATGGTGGGTGGGCAGGATGAAGAGCTAGAATAGCTGCTCTCAAACTGTGGGTAGTGACCCCAAAGGTGGGTTGCAAGTTTTTTTAATGGGATCTCCAGGGGTGGTGGTAGATTTCCTGCTGCCGGGGGTGGAAGCTGAAGCGTGAGCCCCGTTGCTTGGGGCTGAAGCCAACACGTGAGCAACTTAGCTTCGCTCAGCTCCCTGTGGAATGGGGCCAAGGGCAATTGCCCTGCTAACCGCCCCCTAATGCCGGCCCAAATTCTAGGCTCCAGAATCTAGAGTTAATACAGGACACTGGGGTTGTGTAGTAATTTTTGTTGTTGGAAGTGGGTCTCAGTGCAATGAAGTTGGCAAAAAGAGCTAGAAGATGGCAAAAACTGGCTATTTCTATGAATATAAGCAGCACAAACAGATTTATGTAGTCTCTTAGTAAAAAAGATAAATTGTACAGTAACATTTTACAAGATTGCACACTACTGCTGTGCACAGGACTCTATTTTCGGTTCAAAGATATGTGAATGGTTTGGACCTTTTTACTTGAGACATCTGCTACTACCCCACATTCTGTCACGTCATTTGGGAAGGGGTTCTTTTGTGAATTTTCTAAGACTAAGACTTGGACAGTTAGTAGCAGGAACGCTCCTCATTTTGCAGAGCTGAAGTTGTCTGTCTTCAGGGTACAGTGTATAAACAGTATCTGTTTAAATAAGGTTGTTTTTTTCCCCAATGAATTTCTGGCGGCACTGAAAAGATAACCACCAATTAGTGGAGGTAGATATTGGGCAAACAAGCATTGGTAATTTCCATTCTCTGTTTCAAATGTAGGTTTTATGTAATGTGAGGAAGACCAGTGCTACAGTGATGGGGTATCACTTATATAAACTCTTCCAATTAAATTTAATGTAACAAAATTACACAGCAGTAGGATAAAATGAAACCTAGCTAATTAAGTGTCATGTGAAATGACTGAAATAAGATCCCTGTATAAGTCAGTCGGTAGTGAATTAGTAAATAATTCGCATTTTATTGAACTTATTTTGGATTTTGTTGGAAATAAATGTCTTATGTGGACTCATAGGATTATATTTGCGGATTACTGTAAGGGACTAGAGCCATTAGTGCTAGAAGGAACTGTGCAGCTAAGATACCACATGTAATTTTAAAAAGATACTGTAAAGGTGTTTAGTTTTTTTTTTCTGTTACTACCGATTTACTATATTTAATATGTATTGTTTTTAAAAGTGGTTAATCTCTTTATACCATTGCAGCTTTACCAAATGATCCCATTTTGTTTTTTGTTTTATATTTGCAGGTCTTATCCAGCCAATCCCAAGGAATAGCCAGTTTTTCCAAAGTTATTTTAATAATAGTTTTGGAAATGAAGCAGACAGGCCATACAAATGTTATTACTGCAATCGAGCATATAAAAAATCTTGCCACCTTAAGCAACATATCAGGTAAAATAAACACAAAATAGAAAGGAAATAAGTGTATTTAATAAAAGTAATTTAATGTGAGGACAGTTAAAATGGAAGAATAATTTGTAGGAGGTGTTTATATAGGACTCTTTGCTAAGGCTTCAGCTTTACTATTTTGCTGTCCTTAGCTAGTGAAACTACAGAATTAACTTAAGAAGTCAGGTTGCTCCAGATTTTTGGCTAACTTGTACTCTGTGCACTACCATCAATATCAGTGGGATTGCTTGGGGGTATTAGTGCAGAATTTATCCTATTGACTCTTAAGCGCCGGATTTTTCTAAACTACGTATAAAAATGTGCAAGCAGTTGTATGGACATTTACTGCACAAATTGAGTGAGTTTATGGTAAAGGGGCAAATTATGTGTTTAACTGTTATAATTAGAAAAGGAAACTGGCCTTGTAACTGCATGCACATTTCACAGCTAGTGGTTATCAGTGCATATTTTCTTACTGGTGGTTTGATTGAAGTTCAATTCAAGAAATAATTTTGTGTATGCATTATGTACGCAGTATGATTCCTGCGGGAAAAATCTGATTATGTAATTAAAGACCATAAGATTAAACAGGCAATCTTAATTCTGGCATTTCCAAACTTTTTAGTGCTTGACCGTACAACCTTAATGTTCTTTTAAGATCGGCTTTGTATGTATGGGGCTGTGTGTGTAATTTCTTTGTTTTTAAAAACTAAAGCAAATTGAAAAAACAAATTTTCATTTGTCATTATATTGGCACCCACATGGTTCATCTGCAGAGTTTAAACCTTTAGATCCACTACACAGACCTCTGCCTTTTGAGCTAACTGAATTACTCACAGCAATAGTAGGTTGTCATCCTCTCTGTGGATCAGAACTAGTAGGGGATGAGTCATACATTTTGCCAGTAGGTTTCACAGGTATTTACTGATAGAGGAATGGTGAGACTCAGGAGTATTGGATTCCATTCCAGACTCTGTAGGGGAGTGTGTTGTAGTAGTCACACTCTTCTGCAACATTCTACTTCCCCTCTCCCGCAAGATTGATCCTTTGTGCCCCATCGCTTCCAAATTGTGCCTGCTCCAGTCATGTCTCCTTAGTTCCAGTTCCATTCTCTACCACTCACACTTCTCATAGAAGCCCCGGTCTCCTTGCACAGCTGGTCTCGGTTTCCCTCCCCATCAGCTCCTCATCTGATCTCGGTCTTCACCTTCACCCACTGGCTCCCAGTCTCAACACACTAATTCTTAGTTGCATTTCCGTGCCCTCGTTCCTTCTCCCAATCTGCTCTCCCACTCCATCCCTTTCTGGCTCTGCATTTTAATCAGGGAGCTGCTGGACCTAACCAGGTTGGGGACGGCGGTGTGCACACAGAAGAGACAGTCTTCCTGCTTTCAGCTCACAGCAGCCCAGGGCCTACTCAGCCCAGAGTTGGAGCATGCTCAGTGTGGACAAAATGTTCAGGGAATTTAGCTGCAAGTCTCAACTGAGCATTTGCAAACTGAGATTTTTCAAAGACTTTACTAAATTTGCATGTATTGTCAAGGGAACAGCAAAAGGCATATCCTGGATATAAAGGCTACCCCCGGCCCAATTTCAAGTCCCTGTTCCAAAGCATGGTGGCACTAGAGGTCAAAAAAAGATCACCAGCATTTTTTCCTGACCTCGTTCTTGGAAATGGCTGAATTGTTTTAGCTGAAATTTTCCAGTGGAAGTTGTAGTAATGCTTAATAATCAGCCTTAGGCAGAAGGTTGGCATGCAGAATTTCAGCTCAAATATTTTAAGTTTGGCAAAGCTATAAGCAAGAAGTTTCTACCAACTCTGCCATAATTACGTGCTTAAGTGTAATTATATAACCATTTTTTAGCTTATATTTTCAGGTTTTGTTGAACAAAATGTTAGATGCTCTTTGGTTACGTTTTTTCTTATTTTGCTGTTGATGACATTGAGAAATCAAACCCAATTTGTGTTTTTGCTTTTTTTTTTTTATCTTTTTTAAAAGATCACACACTGGTGAGAAGCCATTTAAGTGTTCTCAATGCGGAAGAGGTTTTGTCTCGGCTGGAGTGCTAAAAGCGCATATTAGAACTCATACTGGATTGAAAGCTTTTAAGTGTCTTATATGTAATGGGGCCTTCACTACGGGTGGTAGCCTCAGGCGACACATGGGGATCCATAATGATCTTCGACCATATATGTGTCCATATTGTCAAAAAACGTTCAAAACTTCATTAAACTGCAAAAAGCACATGAAAACTCATAGGTAGGTATAAAACTTTTTTTTTTTAACTCTTTTTCAGTACATTGCAGTAGTAGTTCATCCTTAAAACTTCCTTGAAACCTAGCTTTGATTTAAGAGCTATGTATTATTATCTGGGTTCTAAAAGAGTTAAGAGTAATTTGGTATAATTAATTAGGAAAAAGCCCAGGTTAGCATCTAGCATAATGGGTCTTGGACTATAACCGAAGCTCCTCGGCAATACTTTATTACAAATAAATGATGATAAAATAGTAAAACTGTCATATAAAGAGCTAAAATAGTGTCTAGGTGTGTGCATCATTTGCTAATAAAAGATCTCTTCTTTCATTCTCAGGTATGAGCTTGCACAGCAGCTTCAGCAGCACCAGCAAGCTGCTTCAATAGATGATTCAACAGTAGATCAGCAGAGCATTCATGTTTCCACTCAGATGCAAGTAGAGATTGAAAGTGATGAGCTGCAGCAGCCAGAAGCTGTCACAACAGATCAGGAAGCTATTTTAGAACTAGACCAGCAGCAGGTGGTAACCACAGAAGAAACAGGACTGGGACAACAATTGACTGACCAACCTTTAGAGCAAGATGAAGGTATATATTCAGAACATGAAAAACTACACTGAAGAAAAAATCAGTTTTAGGGGAAGTTCTTAAATTATTTTATCTTGAAAACTTTTATGAATTTGGTTTTAAAACATCTGAAATAATGGTTTAGAAAAACATATATTTTCTGTAAAAGTGTACAATAATTACTTAAAATTTACATAAATGACTTAATTTTCTTACCCTGCATAATTGTGTAAAATATACTGGGAAATATAAAATATTTTATATTAACCCTTACCCATTTCTATTTGGCAAACAAATCTAAACAATATATCACAAAAATATGCTGTGTAATACTTTATGCAAACATTTTCTTTGTAAATCACAATCTTCCAGCACAACTTTTCAGGTTGTTATCAAAGCACATGTGCACAGCTGGTGGAAAGAATACAAAATATTTTGTTAGTTGCCATTGCCAGTATCAACAAGTTAGGTAGATTTGGTTAAATGAGATGTTTTTGTTTGTAGTTGACCAATAGAATTGATTAAAAAACTTAAAACTTTAAAAAAAAATATACCACCTAAAGATTTAAATCTGCAGGACTGTGCCTGACAGATAATTTTAAAATAAAAAGATTTTAAAAGCTTGAATAATGACATATTAAATAAATGTATTTGTCACTAATTGTACATCTACCTAATTAATTTATGTGTTCTTTTCTTGAATTTATGTTCCTGATTTCAGATAGGTTTGTGACATCCCAACATGCTTTACAGGAGAACATCAATCAATTTGAACAGCAAACTTTAACACAGCAGTCATTTGATCAGCAAGGGTTATCACAAGGTTAGTTATAGATAAAAACATTTTAAATTACAGCTCTTAGTAAATTTGGCCCTAAAGTGTTAGAATTATTAAAAGCCTCAATTCTGTGCATATGGGTAACCATGTGTTTAGCTGTCCCATTCGTGCATGCACAAAAAGGAGACCGTCTGAAAACCTGATCTTAACTATTTTGAAAATAGACCTTGTAATCTGAAAAAATTGAGTTTTTGGCTATTTAAACTTATATAGATTTTCCTTTAAAATGATCTCTATCTAGTGGTTACAATATGAGTTTTATAGTCAGGCATTTTGTATTCTGTTTCTAGTTTGAGTGACCATGAGCAGTCTTCATAACATCTTCTGTCTCAACTAAACAACAAATTAATGGAAGACACTAATGTTTGTCTACCTCACAAAGGTGTTGAGGCTTTCTTAATGTCTGTAAAGAACTTTGAGATTATTGATGAAAAAGCACCAGGTACTATAAATGCACAGCATTAGTTTATCGAATTTATATACTGCCATAGCCCTTTAAAATTTGCAAAACTATATGCAAAAGTCAAAATACAAACATCTATTAATTTGTTTTTTTGACGTTTACGTGTATTTTTGCCAGTTTTGTGGGGTGTTATCAAGGTTGGGCAAGTGGTGTAAATCTGGTGGTATTTGAGTGAGTGAGAGAAGGATAATAGCATTAAGAACTGGCTGGATCCATGACTTAATAATTTTAGATACCTTAACATTGGAGCTTTCTGAAGCTGTATAATAACTTTTTAAAGGAAGCATAATAATTTTGGATGTTCTCTACGCTCCACTGGAACTTACTTTCAACTTCAGTTCTTTTTAAATAAATTTTTGTTCAGGAATGGTCATGTCTTTGAATGAGCACTAAAAGTTTTAATATGGCTGTCATATAAAGTCTGCAGAAGGGAAGTTCTGTTCTTTTACAAGGCCCACCAAAGCGGGGCTCATCTTTTGCAAATTTCAGCAAGTCCAGAAGAGAGATGTGTGTGATGGGGAAATATATACCTGGATGGGGTAAGGGGTGGGTAGTGGATGATGCAGATGATTACAGGAAGGCTCTAATCCACATAAAAAACTTCAAGAGCTTTTTACTAGAGATCAAACTTTTAGTGTTCAAAAGTTTTAGAAGTTTCTGATGTTGATAAACTCCTTCCCTCCCTTTTGGTTCCTTGTCCCCTCTGTTCTTGCCTTGTTCTTAACTCAGATACATCTCCTGGGGACTCCTCCAATACTCTTATGTCCCACCCAAGACCTCTGTACTCTCCTGTGTCCTTGCATGCATCTCTCTTCCTACCTCTGAAACATGCCACACCCTTTCAACACCTCACTTTAGTCCCTTGTATGCACCTGTGTGTCTTTTTTGTCCTCTCTGCTCTGCTGCCATTCCATACCTTATCTCCTCTGTACCCCTAGGTCCCTTTCAACTCTCATGGATGGATATTCTGCCTTTTCTGCCCATCTTGCTTGTCCTCTTCCCATTTTCTCCAGTGTCTTTCATTCAGAGACTAGAGAGCACTACTTCATGCCATTGCTCCATGTATCTCACTGTTCCCAGTCTTCTAATACCCCCCACTATATCTCATCCTAGACTTCTGCCCTGACATACTTCTACCTGGTTTCCTACCCCTATTTCTGACTCAGGCCTGGTCTACGCTACGCATTTAGGTTGACGTTAACCTAAGTACAGACTACAGCCCTGTCCTGTTGATGTAAGTGCCCTACTGTACCGACATAATAACTCCACCTCCACAAGAAGCATAGGTCTTATGTTGGTGTAGTTAGGGTTGACAGTGTCTATATAGACACTGTCTTACTTACATTGGTTGTCGCTGTCTTGTCAATTTCATGGCTCCATATTGGAGCCCTGAAATTGACAAGAAAGCTTGGCAGCTAAAGCCTGGCTTTCCCCTGCTCCCAGCTGGGCTGTACCTGCCCAGTTCTTCACTCAGGGTTCTGCTCCTGGCGGGTAGGCGAGAAGCCCGCCTTCCTCTCCCTTAAATCTGTAGTTTAAACATGCCCTCATGGAGGTCCTGCAACAGTAAGGCCTGTAGTCTTTAATGGGTCATGTGAAAACTTCTTCTTACAAAACTTTCTAGAAAAATACCTGTGGAATATAGAATGTGGCATGCAAATCTTGAAGATGATCTGTTTCTGATTGTGACTGAGGGGTGGTCTAAAATTTGGACTTATGGGCACTTAGTTTTGACTTTAATTACATAATACCTACTGATGCTCCTTAATTACACATAAATGTTTGAATTACTATTGTTTTTTATTTCCTCAGTTTTTAATTTGGTTCCTTGTCTAGTTAAATAGCCCCCTTTATAAAGATATAACTGCCTCTTATTACTTCAGTGTGTTATACAATTTAGAACATTTTATTTTGTTTTGCTGATTTTGATACTTATTTAAAATGCATTGTAACAAAGAGTTGAGAGAAGGTATTAATGTCTCTAGATTTATTAAACAGGCCTGATCCGGATCCATTAAAGTCCATTGGAATTTTGTGATTGGCCATCCCATCTGAGATCTTTCCAAATGGAAAAAAAATGGCAGAATTACTGATTTTTCTTCCGTTGTTGATTTTCCATTTTGGACGTTCATTTCAAATGGAGAAATTACACTGTTTTCATTTCGAAGTATTATGTAATTTATGCTTCAGTTTCTGTGTGTTTCTTGTCATTTGGCAAATATAGATTGGTAAATGCTTTTTCCAAAAAAATTGGGGTTTTTTGAGTCTTAGTAATATTCATTTTTACCACAGAAATTTATACTGCTCAACATGTTTTATTAAAAAGTGATAAAATCTCATTTGTATAAGACTTCTCCTATTCTACTTGGAATCTCATCCACAGATTCCCAACTCTTTGAAGTTTCCTTGAAGATCCTGGAGCCCTTCAGTTTTTTTGAATTTCAGGTAGGTAAGCATATGCGCGGATGCATGCGTTAAATTGGTCGACCCTCTCCCTATGTCTGCATCTGTGCTTCATGCTCCTTAGTTCCTTTTTTTCTGCCAATTAGGTAGGACATCTGAGTCCCAGACATCGTCTTTTCTTTCCTTGGTATTTATAGGCTGTAATTCTTGTTAAATATATTGGTTAAATGTTTAATTTCTTAATAAAACAATGTTGGAGTGTTCTGACATTTTCATAATTATTACTTCAAATAAAAAACCAACCACCCTCTGTATTTGTCAAAGAACAGACATAGACCTATGCAGGTCTATATAGACCTATCAGGATCATACATTACATTTTTCTTGTAGGGATCATAGCCTTTTACAGGGTGCCTATTTTGTTCAGATAGACTTCCTTCCTTTTGCCATTCAGACTTTTTAAAGAGTTTTGATTTCCTCCTCTGACGGCAGTATAGGCCAGCACCATAATCCATTATTCACTTGAGCTGGTTTTGACAACATCCAGAATGATGAAGCACTAAGTTTTTCTTGATAGCTTCTACGTGTGAATGCTCAATTTCTATTCGTTTGAGGACATATTTGGAGGTTCAGAGGCAGTCCTTTGCCAGAAAATTGTTACCATTCAAAGGATGTCACTTTTGGAAGTGAAGACTCCAGATCATGACTGAAAATTCAAATGCCATATTTCTCATGGGATACTATAGTTTGTCCGTGGTCCTTTATATGCAAGACATTTTTTTTCTGATAATGAGCTGATTTCCAGAGTGTTTCTCTAATAACTTCATGTGAAAGTGAAAGAAAATTTCTTGGACGATGTCCTCAAGCCAAGAAAGAGCAAGCTTCACAAATTAATCGCCATGCTGCAAATGGTGTAGCATCTCATCCAGGACTGAGAGGGACTGAAGAGCTCTGTGTAAGCTCAAAAGCTTTTCTTTCACCAACAGAAGTTGGCAAAGTAAAAGAAATAACCGCACACACCTTGTCTCTCTGATATTCTGGGACCAACACTGGTACAACACACTGCGAACAGGGATTCTCCAGTAATAGGCCCCTGTGACTCAATTCCAGAAATCCCCTATTCAGTGTCAGGAGAAGGAAGAAGATATGTAAGGGTCTTCAGGAGAGGAGTATGGTCTTTTGATTAAAGCACAGGACTGAGAGTCCGGGAGATCTGTGCTCTATATCTGTCTCTATCACAGACTTCATATGTAGCTACGGTTGGTAAGACACATAATTGCTTCGTCCCGTATAGTCCCATCTATAAAATAGATGCAGTGTGGAAGTACAGTAGTAGTAGATACCTTCAGCATCTTCAGAACAGTGAAGTTGCTGTATTGAATTCCCAGAGTAATTTAAAATCTTAACTGTTGAAATATGATCTTAATACAAGAAATTAAGCAGACCAATGTGAGTCTCTCATACTCCTTGTTATACCTTCAGTTTATATTCAGTCCAGAACTTCTTTCACAAGCAGGGCCTACTTCTTCAATGTGACCAAACAACAACTTTGATTGTACAGATCTTCCTTCTGAGCACTTAGTTTGAAACTTTGAGATTGTTTCAGGATTTCTTGGAAATTGTTCAGGATGTTCATAATCCCTTTACTGTAAAACCATGAAGTGAAACGGATGATGTTCAGTCATAGTGACATTTTAGCACCCTTGTCGAGGGAAAAAGATACCACGTTACCTTATCTTGGCTTGATTGGATTTGTAGGTGGTCTCTTCTGGTATGCTTAACAACTGTTTTGAGTTTTTTTGGATGTGGGGAGGCATTGTTCTTCAGGGTACCTTTTGAGTCTGTCAGTTACCTCAGTCAGGTGAATAAATTATCTACAGCCTCGGTTAAGCAAGCTGACCATTAGAAAAAAGAGGGGTTGTAGTTCGGAAGTTGAATCCTTTTCTTCTTGGGGATGCATCTGAATTTCATGTTACTGAATCCTATTTTCTTCCAACCTTGATTGATCTAGGAAAGAAATAGTTATATAAACTGCACAGTTACACTGAGTGCTTCGTTATAACTGAACTAGAGCCAGTTGCACGTTTTACCTAGAATTATTTGTGACTTTACTATACTGATAACTGTATTTATCTGTCATGAGAACTACCGTATGAGGGACTGGAAGGAAACTTCTGCTTTCATCTGACACATCCCAATGAATGATACTTAGTAATCTATAAACATTTTGTAAGCATTGCTGTTTAGGCTCTGATGCTGTTGTGGTCATTTGATGTGCTTGTACAGTTCTACATTATTTTCATAATCTTCATCTGTTGTCCATTAAAGGCAAACTGCACAGCAAAAATAAAATTGTACCCTTTACTGTTCCTTAATGATGCATAATTATGGCCTGATTCTTTTCCACCAAAATTTTCTACTTGTTTTTTATATAGAAATATCAGATCCTCTCTTCTTTTTCTTGTTTTTGTTATTGTTTGTTGTTGTTGTTATTAAGGGGTTATGTCTGATGTTGATGACATAACAGGATGAAATCTGAGCTATACTATCCTGGCTTTCAGTTAGCCTTTTGTGATGGCACTGTCTCCTTTGTTCCTTCAGCAAAGAAGAAGGTTACAATCTGATATTTCAAAGAAAAACCACAGAGAAAACCCATCTTTGAGGCCATCTTTATATATCAGTAATGTACATAAACACAATTTTATTTTTACTTTGCAACTTGCCTTTAAAAGGCACTACTTTACTATAATCTAAAGAGTGGGAATATGTGGAGGAGATCCAAAGTAGGAGAAAATGGGGTTACTTTATCTGAAACTGGAGTTCTCCTATTGGGTCATCTCCTCCACTCACCCGCCATACTCCCCTCTGAGCTTCGCATCTTTGTGATTGGCTTCCAGTGTAAGTAAGGGAGCGTGATATCAACATGGATAAAGGGAGCTGGGTCAACCTGTTTGACACATGCATGCTTACGTATAAGAAATTCAAAATTTCAATGGCTCTGAGGTAATTGAGGCATCTTGAAGAAACTTCAAACTGTTGTTCTATGGAGGAGATTGTCTAATAGAACTCCAGCTAATGGTAAGTAACCCTATTATTGTGAAAATTTAGTAGATGCCCAGAATGCTTATGCATTTTGCTTATGCTTACTAGTGAAGAGTGTAATGTTTTCTGCTGTAAATTACTATTTAATCTTTTTTTTGAAGTGACTGTTTAAATAAGTAGTGCACTATTTGTTTGTCCCATTTTACATTTTGTACATTTTCCATTATTCTGGGCTTTTGACCTTCTTTAATTTATGACAGGTTTTACAGTGAATGATAGCTACAATCAACAGAATCAATTTTCAGCTGTACAGCAGCTACAGGATTCAAGCACACTTGAGTCTCAGGCTCTTTCAACAAGTTACCATCAACCAAATCTGCTTCAAGTTCCTAACCCAGAGACTATTAATGTGGTGAGTATCTGTGAAAGATAGAATATATTGTTGCTCATTCTGTGAGGCTGACCTTGTGAAGACATTAGCCTCTTCCAGGGGATGTTCATGTAAGCACCGAGAAAATGAGGGAAAGTTCAAGAAGACTTTTCTTGCTTAATTGTTTTTCTTTAAGACACAACAAAAGCAAAACAAACTGGAAAAAAAAAGGCAAAATAATAAGTTTCCCTATCCACATGTTTAGGAATATAAAAATGTGTCACTTTATTTTATATTTTCTGGCAGTTTCCTTTCTTAAATCAAAAAATCTAGGTATATATATGCTATGGATACACTTACTGTGAGTCATTGAAGGAACCTTACATAGACAGATTTGAAATTCATTATGCTAATTTATGGAACAACTCTTATGGGTTAGCCTTCTTTTAAATGTTTCTCAGGTTTTTTTTTTTTTTTTTGTGCAAATGACATGCTTTTCTATTATATAATCTTGGCATTACCTTACTGTATCTAACTTGAATACATGCCATAACTATTTTGAGATTGTGTTCCTGATAGCTGTGCTATAAAATTGCATAATATACAACCACATCATATCATCCTATGATGAATAGTGGGTGGGGATCAGAAGACTGAGAAACTCTGCAAAGTTAGATTAATAGATTTTGAGGTCAGAAGGGACCATCCTGATCATCTTAGTCTGAACTCCTGCACAATGCAGGCCACAGAACCTCACCCATCCACTCCTATAATTGACCCTTAAGTTCTGGCTGAATTACTGAAGTCCTCAAATTATGATTTAAAGACTTCAAGTTACAGAAAATCCACCATTTACTGTAGTTTAAACCTGCAAGTGACCCATGCCCCATGCTGCAGAGTAAGGCCAAAAACCCCCAGTTAACCTCAAAAGATGAGTTTTAGTATCTCCAGAGGAGTTAAGTGAGTATTTTTTAGTTATGTACATTGGAGCTTCCTTTTCCTTCAAATTTTGTAATGTACCAGCCTCACTGTGAGGCTATGCTGTCATTGGTCCGATGAAAGGGGTACATTCATGGAAAGGTAGTAAAGACTGTAAGCACTATTTTTCACCTGGCTGTCAACTGAGTGGTGGGAGGCTTGCTATTTAGAGTGACTGCTCTTTGATTCTCCCCTTTACCTGACCCAAATAATAGGACCTGACTGGAGATTTGACATAGTTGGGATTCCCAGTGAGAGGGGAAATTTGTACGGTACTGGCTCTGTTTATCCTGTTTTGTAAACCCCAGTAGCTTTTCTGTCTCTGCACTTTTGTTGCTCTCCTCGCTTCACAGTAGAGGAGCGTTGGTCTCATTGTTAATGTTTAGATCCACTGTAAAAATTCTTAGAGAATTTGTGTGTATTTATAAATTTATGCTCTTATACCATTTCTGTTGAATACTTGAGATGCACACTTGCCCCAAGTCTGTGATACAGACTTCTGTGCCTTGACTTTAGTATTTCTGCATTTAAGTTTTATCTTGGATCTCTGTTTGATTTCTAGACTACTCGCCTCATACAAGATCAGTCACAAGAAGAACTTGAATTGCATGCCCAACGCCCACAGTTTCTTGAGGACAATGAAGATCAAAGCAGACGTTCATACAGGTCTGTTATATTTCATTTTAGCCTTTATCACTTGATTTGCTTATTTTCTTATGTTACCACCATTTAAATGTGGTCAAGACCAATACCATTAAGTGCTTTGGAAATCAGAAGTGCCATCTAAAAATTGATGGATGATTTTGTAGAAAGTCAATATAAAAAATACTTTGTGAAGGCATGTTGATGATCATTTGGTTCACCCTAGAGAACAAAGGTACTACAACGTTCTGAACAAAACTTCAAGTGATGGAGAATCCCCACTGAGAACTATTCCAAATAGATTTCAGTAAGTTAGCATCATGGTTGTGGGAACGTACATTCTTCAGAGTGTTTGTCCATATACCTGTGTGTAAAGATAGATATCCCACTCCTGGTGTTCATGTGCTCTCTGCACTTGAGATCTGAGTCTTTTGGCCATCAATATCTTTCAAAACCGTGTATGATCACTGAGTGTCTGTACCAAGGGCATAAAGGCACTGCCCATGACTGAGATGGAGCTACCTAGTGTCCATGACTTGATGTGTTTACCTTAACTGTTTTTTCTAGGTCTTGTAAATGTTAAATTAGAGTGGGTTAGTTAGGTGATTGTCCTGTTTTGTCTGGGGGACTCCCATATCCCTAGCAAATGTATCGTTCGTAAATTCTTCTTGAAAAGAACTTCAGAGGCCAAGGAAGAACGTTTGCAGATGTTTTTATTCAACAACTCCATAAGACTGACTTCAGAAGTGCCCTAGTATTTTAGACCCACCCCTTGGACAAGTTCCACCTTTTTCTATGAGTGTTTCAGTGAACTCAAGATTTGTCCGATCCAGAGGTCCATCACTCAAGGATCCAGCTTCTGTCTCTGGGAAGACAGACAAAAAGCTTTCTGAGAATAAGGAGCATCACTCTTTGGAGAAAAAAGAGGTAGATTGCCTATGAAAGCTTCAACTGAGAAAAGATCTAAGTCCCCTCTTCTCCCATCCCAGAATTAGGATTTGTGTCATGCAAGATTTGCTAAAATAGGTTTACATTCTGAGCAGACATCCCTTGGATATGCCTAGTACTACAAAATGTTCTGATGACCTTAGGGTGGTGGAATCGTTCCAATCAAGTGTGCAGTTATTTTTGTGCCACACCTCCAATCAGAACCATGGTGGTGATGAAGTCATCCCTTCTAGGCTGCGGTGGCATATGTGGAGCATCATCATGAGCAAGTCCTCTGCTTATGAACCCATACCATCCTGTTCCTTGTTACATCTGTTGATGAGGGCTTCCTTTTTGGTTGTAGATATGCACCCAGAGATTGGTGCCCAGAACCAGCAGCCGCCAGAACCCAGAGTCGGCAACGGGTCAAGGCTGGGGGTCAGCACTTGGGGTTTGCAGCTGCTGCCGCATGGCCAAGATTAGGGGTCAGGGTTGGCATCCGGCGTCAGCACTCGTCAGACCCTGCTGCCGCACAACTGGGGCTTGGCATTCAGGGCTGGGGATCAGCGACCCCTGCCACGGGGCTGGGGTTTGGCACCTGGGGCTGGTGCTTGGGATCTGTGACCGCTGCCGCACAGGAATTGGCATCCAGGACCAGCATCCACTGGAGCCTGCTGCCGTGCAACTGGGGCCAGGGATTAGAGCTCAGGGTCAGCATTCAGGGCAAGCTCTCAGGGCTGAGGGTCGGATTGCGTGATCACGGGTTTGCGCCACGCGGTCACAGCCAGGGATTGGAGCTCGCTGTGGCTGCTGCGTGACCGGGAATAGGAGCCTGAAGCCTCCTGGCCGAAGGCCTGCGCCGCATGACCAGAGCCGGCGGTCAGTGCCTGAAACCCCTTGGCCAGGTGCTAGGTGTTGACACCTGAAGCCTCATGGCTGGAGCCCTGGTCCGCTGCCAGGCTCCCTAAGTCCCCACTGCCCAGCTACCCTAGGGCCAAAGTCCGAGCCTTCTAAGGCTCCCTCCCCCCCAGGTATTTGATCCTTCAGGGTTGTATGTCCCACCTGTCTCCAGAGGCGGTGCAGGGCGGAGCATCCAGAAGCAATAGGGAGGGAGGAGGAGGGGGGGGGGGTTGATTCTCTGCCCCCACCCCCCGATTGGAGGCTGTATGCGAGAAACGCTGGTTTAGTTAACAATGTCTATACCTGAGACATTTATACTTTCTAAAACTGTATATTTGGAAAATATCTCTGTATGTTTACCTACAGAATTGTTTTAGCTACTTTGCTGGCATAATCTTACTAGTCCATAGTAAAACAAAAAATACTGCTGTGAATGCTGCTTGTATTAAACTGAGGTTGTGAAATACTCCCTATGAAACTTCACAAAATCTGGAAAACTTTGAGGACACCTGATTTAAAATACATACATTCAAGAATAGGAGTGCACTCACACTGCCATTTTTCCTTTGTTTAAAGAAAAATGACTTATGTCAATGGAGTTCAAATAAAAAGCAATAATAACTGTCAATATAGCACAACCTGAAAACTACCATTTGTTTATTTAAATAGATGTGACTATTGCAACAAGGGTTTTAAGAAATCCAGCCATTTAAAGCAGCATGTGCGATCACACACTGGTGAGAAGCCTTATAAATGCCAGCTGTGTGGCCGTGGATTTGTTTCCTCAGGAGTTCTTAAATCACATGAGAAGACTCACACAGGTAACAGAGTACCTTTTTAATACTGTGTTTATTCGTTGTGTACACAAAAGCCTCACTTATGAAAATACATATTTGTTTATATGACTTCCGTTTTGGAAGTTGCTGTTGTCTTTTAATGTTCGCTGTGTAGGTGAGTCAGATAAGTAAAATACTTTCTTTTTTCTGTTTCGTTAAGGCGTTAAAGCATTCAGTTGCAGCATTTGCAATACTGCTTTCACTACCAATGGCAGCCTTACCAGGCACATGGCAACTCATATGAGCATGAAGCCTTACAAGTGTCCATTCTGTGATGAAAGCTTCCGAACAACCGTTCACTGCAAAAAGCACATGAAAAAACACCAAACAGTCTCCTCTGCAGTAGCAGCCACTGGAGAGGCCGGAGGAGGAGGTGAACAACCTTTTTTTTTTTTTTTTTTTTTTAACTGTACTAGATCTTGACTGCAAACCTGGCAAAAATGATTATCAACAAATTGCATTCATGTGATATTAGTGCTGTAATTTATGCCTTCTTGTTTCAAGATGCAAGGCTATGCCCAATAAGCCAGTAAAATTGCTCCTTGTCATTAACTAGTAGAGGAAACGGAACACGCTTACGAATAGGTCTGACATATTCAACCCAGCAATAGCTGACAATACATCTATACCTCGTATTCCATCCCAATGTATTTAATAGTCTTTTTACCTCACAGTAATTTATTAAAAATTGTTTCATGGGGCAGATATTAAGTGACTTGTGAGAATATTTTTCATATTTCTGCTTTGACTAAGATCTTCCTTTCACATTCTGTCAACTTGCTCTTTTTCTGGCTACAATCTCTAGCTAAAAAAAGGTTATTTTCATTCATATCATATGGAATGAAAAAAGCTCACTTTTTATTGGAAATGTGTGTGGGCACTTCCATGAATTCAAGATCTCACAAGAGTGGATTTTTTGGGGACTTTCAGTGTTTTCTGCATTTTAAAGTGCAGTTTTACTCTAAAAAAAGTGACTTGTAAAAATGGCATTGAGCATTCCATACTATCTAAATTGAGTTCCTTTTTTAAAGTATAAGTAAAGAAATTATTTTCTGCAGAACACCACCCCGGCATATTCCAGCTTGGAATCTGAAAGTCAAGTAGGGTTCTTTCTAGCTCCTAATTCACTAACTATAAAGATTCTGTATTTGAGACTTAATTAACAATTTTTTGATGTGAGTAGAGTTAGAATCCAGTGTACTCTTTCCCATAGCTGTGTTCTCCAGACTAGGCAGTCTCCCATTGAGAATATAGCTGTGTTGTAGTGGAGTTCAGGTTGAGAAAACCTATCAGTAATTTGGTGTAAAATACATTATCAAGATGTTGTAATTTATCATAAAAACAAGCATTATAAAACCAGGAAATTTAGCTTTAAGGTTAAACTTAAAGGAAACCCAAACGTGCACAGTTAAGACACCAAACAGCTTTAGCTTTGCCATGTGGACACATCATACAATAACTATATGATTTTGATTAATGCATGTTAGTGTTCATTATTGCAGGTTAGATTAAACTGATTTTCTCTGTGGTTTTTAAATAGTTGTATGTGTGGAAGAAGATGAAGAAAATTCTGAAAGAACTGCTTCCAGAAAGTCTCGGCCTGGTGTTATCACTTTCACAGAGGAAGAAACAGCAGAACTGGCAAAAATTAGACCTCGAGAAAGTGCCACAGTCTCAGAAAAAGTTCTTGTCCAGTCTGCTGCGGAAAAGGACAGAATTAGTGAGATCAAAGATAAGCATGCAGAACTGGAAGCGGAGCCCAAATACGCCAATTGTTGTACTTATTGTCCCAAAAGCTTTAAAAAACCCAGCGATTTAGTCAGGTAAGATGAAGCAGAGGGTCATGCTTTTGGGTGTACTAAGTTCTTTACTGAACATTTAACAGTATTAGCTTTTCATCAAACCTTTTATAGCTAAATTCATTTGTGTCTATCTCACTATGCATTATGGGGACTAACTAGCAGTTATATAGCAATTTTTCACTTCGTTACTGAAACATAATGGTCTCTGTAATGTTTCCTTGCTATTTCATTCTCTAGAATTGACTACAATTGCTCTCTTCTCACATTTCCATTTCCCTGAATTAAGTTAGTTATTTTAAAATCTTACAATGAATAATTGTATGCAGGTGTTTGGTAACGTAGATTTTTATTGCAGTAAAATTTTGATATATAATATGAAAAATCTACTTGGAGAATGAAAAAGAATTGCAAAAATCTTTAAAAAAAATATCCCTCCCCCACCACCCACCCAACAGAACACCCTCTGTCCAAGAGTTCTGAGTATGTAGTATAACCATAAATTTAAGTTTAAGTACCTCAGAACTTTTTAAAGATCTATTAAGATACAAAGTGATTGTTTGGTATGGAAATTGATATGTTTGTTTAAGAAAGTTAACCAACACAAATATTCAAGAAAACATGTTTTTGTCTAGGCATGTTCGTATCCACACTGGTGAGAAACCATATAAATGTGATGAATGTGGAAAGAGTTTTACTGTGAAGTCTACTCTGGATTGCCATGTAAAAACGCACACAGGTCAGTAGGATTTTAAACTTGTGTACTTGCAGCTCCATTAGCTATTTTCTTAATGGGCTCTTTTATCTGTAGGTATTGGAGGATATGGTATATTTCACTATTAAAAGCACAATGTTAACATTTGATAACACTTTTGAGTCCACAATATCTTACTTAGTGGTCGTTGATAAAACCTATTGTTCTAACAAAAGGTTTATGATAAGCCATGTCAAGGAAATATAGCCATGCTTTGCACATATGTATTACTTTCATACCTGCTGGAACAGTCCACCACTTAGGGCTGGTCTTCACTATGGGGAGATCGATGCTGCTGCAATCGATGAAGCAGGGATCAACCACAGAGCGCTCTCTGGCCGACCCCAGTACTCCAGCTCCCCGAGAAGATTAAGGTAAATCGATGGGAGAGCATCTCCAGTCAACGCGGTGCAGTGATGACATTATTTACATAGCTGAAGTACTGTAACTTAGGTCGACTTACCCTGATAGTGAAGACAAGCCCTAAGTGATGCTCTTGGCCAGGAAGGGCAGGGTTTGCGGATTATATACAACTAGAAAAGTTTTGTGTGTACAGCTCATGAGCCAAAAGGTGCTTTTTCTTGTCTGATGAGTTTAAAAATGAAACTGACTTAAATATCTTGGAACACTAAGTAGAAAGTGTTTGGGCCATTTTTCTGCAGAAGGAGTTTGGGCTGGCAGTAATAGTCTTTTTCTAAATTGTTACAGTAATTGCAGTGTCTGACCATGACTAGCATCAGTATATTGTAAATACCCGTACTAATAGACTTCTACCATAATATGTGTGTGAATTAACAAAACTCTTTGTCTGAGTATCTTTTTGTATGTTTGTTATGGCTGAACTTTTACAACTTATTCATACAGGCACTTCTGAAGTAATTTATTACTCCTGGAAGTAATGGTTACAGAATCAGTATGTTGTGTAATAATGCTCTTTCTGACCATGTAAAAAAGTGATTTATAGTGCCATAACCTAAGATTATTGTGCTTTCTGAAGATCCCTTTCACTCCAAGGGAGCGGTATTTTTCCCCCCACTGTCTAACAAACTCTAGACAGTATATGTGTTGATGAATGTTATCCCAAACTTGTTTCACTGAACAAAAGTGACCTCCTTGTTGGGGCTATACAATCTTTCCCTAAATAGTCTGAGTTGCAATTCAAGAATTTAATAAACGGTCCTGTGACATCAGTTGAAGCCACATCTTGACCAGTAACAATTCTAGACCAAACAGGCTTCCACAGCCTCGGTATTCGGTTGTAAAGAGTTGTGGATTGGGCCACCCACAGAGTGTCTGGAAGCAGGTTAGTCTTGCCGTAAAGAACTGAGTTTAACTTGTTCAGGAGTTAGTTTGAGAGTTTGTCAGAGGAAATGGCCAATAGTAGTCATGGTTCACTCATCATCCACTTGGTTGGCTGAAATCCTTCCTTCAGTCAGTTTTAGAGAGGTCTGAAATGTTATTCTTCTGTGTTATGGGTGTCTGTGTATACCAGGGATCTCAAACTCAAATCACCATGAGGACCACATGAGGACTAGTATATTGGCCCAAGGGCCGCATCACTGAAACCTTTTCATACAATGATACAAAAGTATAGTCAAAAATGAAAAAAATGAAGGGTAATATAGTATGCTATTAAAAGTCAATGTATTAACTTTTTTAAAACTGTAATGTGAAGAGGGGTTTTAATAAAATATGAACACCTGTAACTATTCCTTGTGGTCAGTAACACTGATGATGATTTACAGTAACAGTCTATCAAAATAGCTGTAATAGCAGGAACTTTTTAAAGTAACTATTTGTACAAAATACGTTTAACAAACATTGTTCCCAACTACTCACAGCAAAGAATCATACATGCTGAACTTCGTACCTCAGACTGCTCATCTAGTCCAAGAGGCCCCTCCACTTCCCTGCCCCCATTCCAACCCCTTTCCGAAAGCCCTGCCTCAACTCCGCCCCCTCCCTGCCCCTAATCCATCTCCTTCCCCATGTCTCCGCCCCAGCCTCGCCTCTTCTCCGCCTCCTCCCCTGAGAGTACAGCGTCCCCGCTCCTCCTCCCTCCCTCCTGGAAAGTCCTAAGCGCCTCCAAACAGCTGTTTGTTGGCGGGAAGCGCTGGGACATAAGCGGAGGAGCGGGGATGCGGTGCACTGTGGGGGGAGGGGAGCTTGGTTGCCGGTGGAGTCAGCGCCTATGGCGGGCCACGTGTTTGAGACCCCTGGTATATACTGTGCTGCCTCCAGTCCTTGTTTGGATAGGAAAGAACAAACATTGTAAAGTATGGGAGTTTCAGGTAGTGCTTTACTTGAGCAACAATGTGCCAGAACCACGCTGCTACTTCTTTGACTGATTGCATATATCCATTCCACTATACATGAATGTGTGCGTAGTTATCACAGATTTTTTCCCCCTCAGCAGTACCTGTCTGGCCCTCTGCTGCCACCTGCCACTGCATGCAATTATAAGGTGTGGAGCTGCCTCTCGCCCCCCTCAGTTCCTTCTTACCACCCATAATGGTTGTTAGCTTGATTCTAGCCTTGCTGCTGCAAGTTCTTCTTCGAATAGTGTCCCTATGGGTGCTCCACTGTAGGTGTGGTTAGCGTCCCTGTGCCTGGGATCAGAGGTCTTTGGTAGCATTTCCTGTCTTGTGCTGTGAACGGCGTCTATATAGTGCTGTGTGGTCCAGCCACCTTCAGATCCCTCTCAACTGCCCTTGGTCTGGGGCGGTATTCCTAGCAGAGCCCTTTGTTTGTTTGTCCAAGAACCTTTAGTAATATTAGTGCTTCCGTTGCAAGTTCGTAGTTATTGGTTATTTCTTTTATTTTTCTCTCTCTCTTCTACCCCTTATAAATAAATTTAAAAAAATTCCCTTTTCTCTTTCCTCCCTATCTCCATGAGTGACAATCACTCATGGTGCTTATGCTGAGTGAGAGGGGCACTTATCATAAAAGTGCGGCCACTGTGTCAAATTGAAGGCATAGTTCAGAAAGGACTGTGAATTGAGACTAAAACTTCTACTAATGGAGAGCTGAGTGCTACCAGCCTCAGACCCTGGACCCAATACCTCTCCTATGCAGTGCTCACTATTGGCATCGTCATCAGCCAACCCCCACTCGCTGCCTACTACTAAAAGACAATTTAAACTCTCACTCAGAGGAGAAGAAATGGGCCCCGAGCTCACCCACCAAGGAGCCGTCTCAAAGAAAGGCATCCCCTACGAGGTCATAGCCTCAGTATCTTTGGGGACGCCTATGACCATCCGATTACCTGCAGCACTGTCGCTAACGAGAGGTCGAAGGCAGGGCCACGTAAAGGAACACTGTCACTTGGGACCGAGAAGGACAGTTCAAGGATCTCAAAATTGGCACTGAACACTTCAACAAGCGACTTTGAGTGCATCAGCGCTGTCCAAGCCCTTTGTGCCTGTGAAGCACGTGGCACCATCTACTGGTTGTTCAACAGAAAGCATTCCACCTTTGGCACCAGCAGTATCCACAATTTCTGCACCAATACACACAACCATTGGTTGCTCCTGCCGGTACTGCAAGAGTTCCAATGTGCGAGAGACCTGATAGTCTCTGATACCCCAGAGTCGCTGCTCCTCTGAACTGAGCTTTCCATTGTTCATGCCTCTCCTCTGGATACCCAACTCATACCACATCGTTCTCCTTCACACTAAGGATGACACCACCCTTCTCTAGTGAGGAGGGAATACTCCATTGCTCCTTGCACCCTACCATCATATCAAGGGGCTTGACATAGAGAATCACATTACCACTCTCGATATCCAGCCAGAGACCAGAATTGACCAGGTCCTTGATATGGACCCCCATGGATGTAACCCCATGTGCTAATTCCTACACGTTGGCCCTGTGGGGACCCTTGGGCCACGTATAGGTCACGCTTTCCCAAACTGCCAGGAGATCAGACACAGGCACCAAATACATTGTCCATCCTCATCGATCTCTAGGCTTCCTGACCCAGACCCAGATTTGTTAGAAAAGCACGAGGAAGAAATGGAGGAAGTTGTTATACCACCAGGCAATATTACTTCATCCTACCCTGACGAGGCCATCATGTCACCACCTCCAACACTGGCTGATAATTTTAAACATTTTCAAGAACTGTTCCATAGGATTCAAGATCCTACTGGAGGAGGTTAGACAGCAACAACACAAGTTGCTCGTCATCTACAGGTCTCCATGTCGGCAAAGATAGCATTTCCGATCAAGGAGGCCTTGTTGGACCCAGCCAAGGTAATATGGCAGACCCCAGCATCAATACCACCTGACTTTAAGCGAGCACACAAAAAGTACTATTTCCCTGCAATGCCCATGGAATTCCTATTCTCCCATCTTACTCCCAACTCCCTTGTGGTCAATGTGGTGCCATGAGAAAGGACAGCAACACCAGGACAATCCTATCTAACAGGAACGGGAAGAGATTAGATCTCTTCAGTCGCAAGGCATATTCCTCAGCTATGCTCCAGTTTCACATTGTTAATTATGAAGCAATTCTAGCCAAATATAGTCATATGACCTATTCAAAATTCACTGAATTCAGTCAACATTTCCCAGAGGACGAAAAAGACCAGCCTGATACATCGTGACGTCTGTGGTAATGAGGTAGGACTCCATGGTGCATCTTTCAGGATTTCCCAGGAAGGTGGAAGATATGCCGTTTGAAGGACTTAAAACTCTTTATTGAACGCACTGATGAATACCTTCATTTATTGAAGGATTCCAGAACGATGCTGCATTCACTCAGCATTTACACACCAGCATCAAAGAGAAGACTGAGTAGATATCAACCTCCACATTTCACCCCTCGACAGCATTATGATCCACAACATAGGAGACAGAGACCTCCTCCCAAACTCAGACAGCAGGTGGCAATGCCCTATCCATCCTCCACCAAGCAATCATTTTGAAGATTTAGTCAAGGACCTGAGATTCCCCTGGATCTAGGTATGGCAACCATCTGAATTAATCCATCAGTTTGGCAACCGTTTGACTCCCGTCTATCAGTCATGGTGACAAATCACCTCCAACAAGTGGGTGTTGGCAATCGTCAGCAATTCTATTCCTTGCTCTCTCCCCCCTCCCCATCCCTCTTCAGGGACCCTTCTCACGGACAGCTTTTGCGAGAAGACATAAACCACCTTCTGTGACTGGGAGCTGTAGAACTGGTCCCATTCCAACACAGAGGCGAAGGTTTTTATTCCCACTATTTTCTAATCCACAAGAAATCTAGCAGGTGGAGACCGATCCTAGGCTTGAGGAACTTCAACAAATCGGTCAAAGTACGTCATTCTGTATGGTCATGTTATCAACAATAGTCCCAGCACTGGAATGGGGACTAGCTCTCGGCCCTCGACCTCCAAGATGCATACTTCCATATCACCATACACCTTTCCCATAGATGGTTCCTTAGATTTGTCCAGGGTCTAACCATTACCAATACAAAGTACTATCCCTTGGCCTCTTGACAATGCCCAGGGTATTTTCCAAAGTCCTCGTGGTGGTGGCGGTGCATCTCTGCAAACAAGGGATTATAATATTCCCATATTTAGATGACTGCCTCATCAAGGCTCTGTCAAGAGTCGACATGTTCCAAGGCATAAGAACAACAATGGATCTTTTCTCGAAATTCAGCCACTAGATAACCATGCAAAAAACAACATTGACATCAGTTCAACCTCTGAAGTTTATTTGGGCCCAAACTGGATGCTATAAAGGCCAGAGCCTTCCTCCCAGCTCACAGATTTTCCACGATAATCCTTCTCATCTCTACTGTGAGAACCAGTCCACAGATCTCCACCAGAACTTGTCTACAGTTTCTCAGTCATATGGAAGCAGCCACATTTGTGGTAAAACACACCAGACTACACATGCGCTGCCTGCAGGGATGACTACGAACAGTGTATGTACTCCACAGACACAGCCTGCACAAACCTCTCTCGTTACCACTCAAAGTCAAAGACTCATTAGACTGGTGGATGCAACCGTGAAATGTCTGCATGTGAGTTCCTTTCATCCAACCACCACTGTCCTTGATACTGATGACCAATGCCTCCCTACTTGGTTGGGGAGCACATCTACAGACCTATTCATTACAGGGCACGTGGTCCCCCTCGGAATCCGGATTGCACATCAACTTCTAGAATTATGTGCAGTCCACAATGCATGCTTACACTTTCTACCAATTATCAGATGGCCATAAGAGAAGTGATGGACAACATCGCCTGCATGTTTTATATTAAAAAATGGGGGAGGTGAGGTCCCAATCCCTGTGAACAGAAGCACTAAAATTATGGAACTTGTGTATCTAACATGGCATCAACATCTCTGCCATATATCAACCTGGATACCAGAACACAATGACAGACTCACTGAGCAGGAGATTCTCACAAGAGGGAGTCAGACACAAGAGCCCTACAACACATATTGAACCACTGGGGATTCCCAAACATAGATTTGTTCAGCACACTCGAAAACGCTGACTGCCTATTATTCTGCTCAAGAGTGGGTCTGGGTCACCAGTCTCTGGGAGATGCCCTCCACATTACGTGGGATGCACCTCTCATTTATACTTTTCCACTCTTTTCCCTACTGTTCACAGTGCTTCACCAGGTACAAGTGGAATGGGCCAGAGTTGTTCTCATAGCTTCAACATGGTCATGACATAGATGGTATCCTTACCTCATGCTTGTGGCACTGTCCACCAATCACCCTGCAGTTGACTCCAAACCTCCTCTTGCAGGATACAGGCCAAATTCTCCATCTGAAGGCATGGTTCCAGGATCTGGAAATTAATCTGTTGAGAGGATGTAAAAGAGATTCTTTTAAAAGGCAGACATTCAACAACTCCTTATATTTACCTACCTACATGGAAAAAATTCTGGACTTGGTGTGAGACCAAACATATCTCAGCTTTTTGGAAATGTCCAATATTTTTTAACAATACTGCTAATTGAACTTCCTTTTCATATTTGTTTAGAACTCTGACTGTTACGTTGTTATACAGTACTGGTAATTATTGATTATTTCTTCTTTTGCTCTCTCTCGTTGTTCAGGTCAGAAGCTCTTCAGTTGTCATGTATGCAGTAATTCTTTTTCTACCAAAGGGAGTCTAAAAGTGCATATGCGGCTGCATACAGGAGCAAAGCCATTTAAGTGTCCACACTGTGACTTACGGTTTCGTACTTCAGGACGCAGAAAAACCCACATACAGTGTCACTATAAACCAGAAACCAAGAGGGTCAGGAAGCCTGTGACCCGTACATCTGCTGAGGGCCTACAACCAGTGAATCTTCTTAATTCTTCCACCACAGACCCCAATGTTTTTATCATGAATAACTCTGTTCTGACAGGTCAATTTGATCAAAATTTGCTTCAGCAAGGACTTGTGAGTCAGGCGATCCTTCCTGCTTCTATGTCAGGTAAAAATGAATACTTTCATTTGGGTTTAGTTAGCCAAAATACTAAGCTCTGATTTCTGTTAGAGAAAGTTTACAGACATATGCCAAATTGTAGTTCTTGTTCAGATAAGACTTCCACTGAAACTGTGATTTGACTCTTCCTCATAAAGTGGTGCTTTCAGGGGTGAAGGTGGTGCTTTCAGCAGTGAAGATATCATGTAGTCTGTCTGTTAAGGATTCATTATTCTCAGGGGAGTAGAGAACTTACTCAAGTTATGATTTAAAAAAACAAAAGCTCCCCATGTTGTTGTGATATTGCAGTAGTGCTATACACAAAAATGAGGACAGTATAGATGAAATAGGAGCCTAAATTAGAGATTCCACATTCTGATATATTTTAATTAAATTCTGTTGCTTTTTCCTGTAAAATAAGAGAAAATTAATGTTTTATGTAAACAGTTCATTTTAAAAATATATTTTTAACCTTAAGTGTTACGTGATAAAGAGAGGAAAATTAATTTACATTAGTTGTGGATATGGAAAAAGCATTTAAAATACACAACTTTTACAGTTGCACAGATCCCTCCCTACAGTTAATTGTTCAGAGCAAAAATTAACAAAAATATTACAATGTGCAATGCAGAAGAAATTAACATAAGTATAGGATAATATTTTCAGAAGAGACTTAGACATTTCGGCGTCCAAGCCTTATTGAAAATAAATGATGCTAGCGTCCTAAGCATTTTTGAAAATGAGACTTAGGCATCTAAGGCACTTTTGAAAATTTTGCCCATTGAGCCTTCTTTATAGGCAAGGATTTCCCACAAATTTACTTCCATTTTCATAAATGCTTACATATCCATCAAGTTGTAACCACCACCATTCTAGCCTGTCTAGTTGGATCTTAGTCTGTTATGTAGAACTGGGTGAAACTGACTGGTTTCATTTCACACAATATTGGTAAACATTAATTGTCAGGTTCAATTTGTGGGAGTTTTACATCCTTTTGAGTTTTGGTTGAGCAGAAAGAGGGGCCTTCAGAATATTCATTTACCTCAGAATGGGGTAATGAACCTTATAAGCAGTATCTAAAAAGCATTCCTGGTGCTGCAGGTTGCCCAGTACTCTACAGATATTTCCTGTAGATGTAGTGGGGAGCAAATTTATCTTTCTGGCAGCACAAAGATTGAAAATAGGGAAAGCAGGACAGATGGCAGTCCATCTGGCTATTAAAATGGTTCTTATCTGACTTGGGAAAGGACATTTTTTGTTTATTGTATAGTTTTTAAAAGATACACCCAGTATTGAATGGAATATACTTCTAAATTATAACAGTTTAACACAGGTCAGATTTGAAATCTTTACATGTATTTAAATTCTACCCACACAAGCATTTATTGAGACATAGGTGGAACTTTGAACTACAGTGTTGCTGTACTATGGATAAACTTTCAAAGAACCTTCGTATGTGCATGCATATTCAAACTTTGTGGTGCAACCATTTGCAAATCTGTGTTTTACATTCAGAGAGGGTGGAAGTTCAGAAAGTGAAAATATTGAAATATTTGGACCTTTGTGTCTAGAATTCCAAAGTCATTCTGAAACTTTTCTACTTTATGAAAGAAGCTGGTCACTGCTTAAATACTTTGATTTTTTTTCCCCCAAATGCATTATGCAGATTTGTTATAAATTTAAAAAATGGAGCACTGACTACTTGAATCTAATATTATTTTTCTTGGTTCACAGAATTGCAAATACTTAGATATTTCAGAATGATTTCATTTAAAAAACCTGGATAAAAAGGAGACCAACAATGATAAAGAAAAAATTATAATATGACTATTTTCTTTGGTAGCTGGAGGTGACTTAACTGTGTCCTTGACAGATGGTAGCTTGGCCACCCTTGAAGGCATACAGTTACAGCTTGCTGCTAATCTGGTTGGACAGAATGTTCAAATTTCTGGAATAGATGCTGCCAGTATTAACAACATCACATTACAGGTAGGTTATTATTAATTTCTGTTAATAAGAGTGGATGGAGTGTCATGTGTGTAGACTACCTGTGCCCTGGCAGAGCCCTGTTGACTTCACTTCACTGTACAGGGTGTAATGATTCCATGTTGTACAGTATTAAAAATATTGTGTGTGTGTGTGTTGAAAATAAAACTTAGGCCACTGCAATCCAGAAACCCTTTTTTCTGAATATTTTATGCAAATTAGAACTTGCTTTTTATCCGTTAATAACATTGGTTTTCCAAAGCATTTTAGTTCAAATTTTCCTCCTGTTTACGGTCTTTCTTTCACGGAATGTTCTCCCTCTTAATGCAGGAAACCTGTATTATTCAGCACCCTCCATGTCTAAATTTGTTATTTAATTTTTGGACAATAAAGTTGTGAACATAATCCAGCAGAAATGTTTGCTTAAAAAAAGAGTAAGAGAAAATTCTTGGCTTCAACCAATTTTCAGTGCTTACTCTGAACACACTGTGGTGAAAAATGGACTTGATGTAGTTTTATTGGTTTTAAACCTAAAACAAGAACTTCCATATGTAAATCTGAATTACATATACTTAAATACAGTGTGTATATAAATAAACTAGGGCTGTTGATTAATCGCAGCTAACTCACATGATTAACTCAAAAAAATTAATCACACTGTTAAACAGTAGAATACCAATTTAAATTTATTCAATATTTTGGATGTTTTTATACATTTTCAAATATACTGATTTCAATTACAACACAGAATACAAAGTATATAGTGCTCACTTTATATTATTTTTGATTACAAATATATGCACTATAAAAATGATAAACAAAAGAAATAGTATTTTTCAGTTCACCTCAGACAAATACTGAAGTGCAATCTTTTTATCGTGAAAGTGTAACTTACAAATGTATATTTTTTTTGTTACATAACTGCACTCAAAAACAAAACAATGTGAAACTTCAGAGGTACAAGTCCACTTAGTCCTACTTCTTGTTCAGCTGATCGCTAAGACAAACAAGTTTGTTTATATTTATGGGAGATACTGCTGCCTGCTTCTTATTTACAATGTCACCTGAAAGTGAGAATGGACATAGAATCATAGAATATCAGGGTTGGAAGGGACCTCAGGAGGTCATCTAGTCCAACCCCCTGCTCAAAGCAGGACCAATCCCCAATTAAATTATCCCAGCCAGGGCTTTGTCAAGCCTGACCTTAAAAACTTCTAAGGAAGGAGATTCTACCACCTCCCTAGGTAGCGCATTCCATTGTTTCACCACCCTCCTAGTGAAAAAGTTTTTCCTAATATCCAACCTAAACCTCCCCCACTGCAACTTGAGACCATTACTCCTTGTCCTGTCCTCTTCTACCACTGAGAATAGTCTAGAACCATCCTCTCTGGAACCACCTCTCAGGTAGCTGAAAGCAGCTATCAAATCCCCCCTCATTCTTCTCTTCTGCAGACTAAACAATCCCAGTTCCCTCAGCCTCTCCTCATAAGTCATGTGTTCCAGACCCCTAATCATTTTTGTTGCCCTTCACTGGACTCTCTCCAATTTATCCACATCCTTCTTGTAGTGTGGGTCCCAAAACTGGACACAGTACTCCAGATGAGGCCTCACCAATGTCGAATAGAGGGGAATGATCACATCCCTCGATCTGCTGGCAATGCCCCTACTTATACATCCCAAAATGCCATTGACCTTCTTGGCAACAAGGGCACACTGCTGACTCATATCCAGCTTCTCGTCCACTGTCACCCCTAGGTCCTTTTCCGCAGAACTGCTGCCTAGTCATTCGGTCCCTAGACATTCGCATGGCACTTTTGTAGCCGGCATTACAAGGTATTTACATGCTAGATATGCTAAACATTTGTATGCCCCTTCATGTTTGGCCACCATTCCAGAGGACATGCTTCCATGCTGATGATGCTCGTTAAAAAAAAAATGCATTGATAAATTTATGACTGAACTCCTTGGGGGAGAATTGTATGTCTCCTGTTCTGTTGTATTTGCATTCAGGCATATATTTCATGTTATAGCAGTCTCAGCTGATGACCCAGCACATGTTCGTTTTTTAAAAACACTTTCACAGCAGATTTGACAAAGTGCAAAGGTACTAATATGAGATTTCTAAAGTTAGCTACAGCACTCGACCCAAGGTTTAAGAATCTGAAGTGCCGTCCAAAATCTGAGAAGGACGAGGTGTGGAGCATGCTTTCAGAAGTCTTAAAAGAGCAACACTCAGATGTGGAAACTACAGAACCCAGAAAAAGAAAATCAATCTTCTCTTGGTGGCATCTGACTCAGATGACGAAAATGAACATGTTCGGTTCCCACTGCTTTGGATCGTTATCGAGCAGAACCCATGGTCAGCATAGATGCTTATCCTCTGGAATGGTGGTTGAAGCATGAAGGGACATATGAATCCTTAGCACATCTGGCACAAAAATATTTTGTGACACTGGCTACAACAGTGCCATGTGACCCCCTGTTCTCATTTTCAGGTGACATTGTAAACAAGAAGTGGACAGCATTATCTCCTGCAAATTGTAACCAAACTTGTTTGTCTGAGTGAAGGGCTGAAGTAGGACTGAGTGGACTTGTAGGTTCTAAAGTTTTACATTGTTTTATTTTTGAATGCAGTTTTTTTTTGTACATTATTCTACATTCGTAAGTTCAACTTTCATGATAAAGAGATTGCACTACAGTACTTGTATTAGGAGAATTGAAAAATATTATTTCTTCTGTTTTTTACAGTGCAAATATTTGTAATAAAAATAAATATAAAGTGAGTACTATACACTTTGTAGTCTGTTGTAAATGAAAGCAATATATTTGAAAATGTAGAAAACATCCAAAAATATTTAAATAAATGGTATTATATTATTGTTTAACAGTGCGATTAATCGTGATTAATCTTTTTAATCACTTGAGAGCCCTAAGATAAACATATATAAATGTAAAATTTGAAAGTTATCTAAGATACCAATTTATAAAACTTGAGGGTGGGTGTACATAATTTAATAAAACACAAAAGTAAGTATATAACTCTAGCAAGGGTGGAAAAATAAGTTATTCCTACTCTCAGTCCACTCTTTTCCTCTACTCCCTTTCACCTTCACTGTCAAATAACTGAGGAAAGTGACCTGAAGGCAATACAGAGGAAATACTGAGTACCAACAAGAGAACATCCTGCAACTAGTCCCTTCATGTTTAAATCTAATGATTTGTTACAGCTGCTCAAACTTGCTGATCTCAGTTGCTATGGCAGACCTGGAGAAAGAGGCACTTGCATCTTAGCTGGCGATTAAACCATTTATGACTTCATCCGATGCAGTGAGCTGTGGCTCACGAAAGCTCATGCTCAAATAAATTGGTTAGTCTCTAAGGTGCCACAAGCCCTCCTTTTCTTTTTGTGACTTCAGTATGTCATAGGCAACTCTTTGAATTGCATTAAAAACAAATAGGAAGCCAAAGTAATTGCTGAGGAACAGTTGTTACTTTTTTTTAATCCTATTTCATTGCTTAACAAGTCATCAGCTGCATTCTGCACCAGATTTCATAAGTGACATGTAAGTATGGCAAGGCCCAGACTCAAAAGGAAAGGTTCATGTCTAAACAGGCAGAGGGACTTAAAGGCATTTTAAGGCACTGTCACCTGGAATTCTGGGTTTACATTAACTTTTACATTTCGATATCTGGCTCTCTTGGTTTTCAGATTGATCCCAGTATTTTACAGCAGACGCTACAACAGAGTAACTTACTTGCCCAGCATCTAACTGGGGATCCCAGTATGGCTCCGCAGAACAACTCCCTCCAGACAACAGACAGCACGGTGCCAGCTAATGTGGTTATCCAGCCCATGTCAGGCTTGTCTTTACAGCCCACAGTAACATCTTCAGCTAATATGACAATAGGACCACTGTCTGAGCAAGACTCTGTGTTAACAACTAACAGTAGTGGTAAGAAGTGTTAATAGCCCCTTTTCTCTTGCCTTTGATGGTTTTTTTGGCCATAATTCTTAAATCATTTATTGATGGAAATCTTGGTATTGGTTAACTTGCTCTTAGCCCTCTAGACTTCATGAAATAAATAAATTGATATTGATATTAAATGCGTTGCTGCTTTAAGTTTAATACGCAGGTTGAGAAAAAAGCATGTACATCTGGGTATAGTGCTTAGATTATCCACAAATACAAAGTTTGTTTAAATCTCATAAGATACATATAGTACTTAATCTATAATATCTCAAATTTAGATCAACGTAATGATACAGTTTAGATATTAGGGTACATCACTCATGATGAGTTATACAGAGGGTTGGTTGTAGAAAGCAAATATAGGAATGAGTGTAGATTGTCCCTCAGTAACTGTATTATCCTGTATGAACTAAAAGCATAGAATGAAAATAGCCAAAGTAGCCTTTTAGCTATGTGCAGTGTAACCTAGTTTGATTGGAATGTTGGTTAGTAGTAAAGTACTGTTTATACGCGAAGTGTAATTCTTCTTGAAGAGTCATGACAGATTTTGGAAAAATAAAACTGATTTTCCCTAGTATATTCAAAGTCATGTCTTAATGAGGGTGGTTTCCCTGTCAGACTACAACTTCATACAGCTGTTGAGGCTAGTGTGGGTAGTTTTTCACTCTTTTTTTCATTCTCAAAAAAAGCCTAGCTGTTTTGTTTTATTTTTGAAAATTCAAGCAATCTTTTAGCAAAGAACAGGCTAGAAAACATTGGTGAAAGCTTTTGAAATTGGAAAAATTGAAAATGGGGTTTAGAATAGAGGTACTAAAACTATAACTGTCATTAGCTGTCCAGCTACAATAAAATAAGCTTAGCACTGTATCTTGCAGAGTTGTACTTTTATACAGTTATAGATGTGTACTATAACTTGCAGCACAAAGACAGGTTACCAAAAATATTTGAAAGTTTAGGAAAGTAAAGATTGGTTAGCAACAATGTCTTTTTCAAAACACAACTTTAAACAGCTTAGTATTGTTGTAAAGCCCAGGATTTCATTGGTTGTTTAAAAATATTTTATTTTTTTAAAAAGATCTGTATTCATTCTACAAAAAAAGTACCGTCATGTATTTATTTTTTCCCTCCCAACTTATATTTTAGGTGCACAGGATCTCTCTCAAGTCATGACCTCACAGGGTATGGTGTCCACTTCGAATGGTCAGCATGAGATAACATTGACCATAAATAACTCAAGTTTGAGTCAAGTTCTAGCTCATGCTGCTGGTTCCACCACTACAAACTCATCAGGAAGCCCACAAGAAATTACCCTCACCATATCTGGTTAGTATTTTTATCACTGGTCGATCATTCTTAGTTCCCATCCAAAATGCTAGCTATACAATAACATTTGCTGGATATTTTATTAGAGGGTGAAATCATTTGTTTCTACTGCCTGCAAGTTTAGCCTAAGGCTATATCTGCGCTACAGACCTCTGCTGGCTTAGCTATGTTGGTCAGGGATGTGAAGAATGTGATTCCTGACTGACATAGCTATGCTGTAGAAAGTGCCTAGCATAGATGCAGCTCTACTGGCCAAAGTTGTGCCCTCACTGATAAATCTTGTTTTGTTTGTGTGGGCTGGTTTTACTATACTTATACCTAATACATACAGCTTTGCTCGTATAGCTTTGTGTATGCTAGAAGTGCTTTGCTGGGATAATATACTGTGTACCTTTACTGATAAAGCACTCCTAGTGCAAACGTGGCTTTAGTTTGAAGTATTTTAGATTCTCCAAGGCTAAAGATAGCTTCCCCAGATCTTTTTTTTTTTTTTTTTTAATGTTGAATAGCATTGATCTGAAGATGGTCTTATTAGACTCTGTCCCTTCCTTATTATATTACTATAGATATTTTGCTTTTTAAGACTCTGGGTATGTCTGTAGTTCAAGTTGGAAGAAAAAACTGTTCTTCTGCTGGCCTGGAAATATGTATCTCAAATCAACAAGCCTTGCTGCCTAGATAAGATTTCTTCCTCTGGGACAATGTTCTTAATTTTGTGGTCAAGTTACCAGAGGAGGCCAGTATTGGAAGAGGGTAACCTGTTGGGTAGGACCTTGCTACAGGCTGTTTTGGATGGTCCAGACTCTGCAGCCCAGAGCCAGGGCATCTGTAATAACAATGTATTGATATTAATGCTTTAATCATCGGGTCTTCCACAGAAGGTACAGGAGACTATTCAGAATCTCCTTTTTGAGACACCAGCCATCATCTTCACAGTCTCAAGGACTCCATGGTTATGTCTGAAGGCTTTGGGGATTTATACTCCACTCCCTAAAAAGAAGCAATTCCACCCTCAGTCATTCCAGTGCTACGCATCCTTTATGGTTAGGCAATCTGTCTAGGAGGAAAGGGAAAAGTCATCAGGGTAGAGCCCACCCTCCTCACTTTTTTGTCTTCAATAAGCTCTTCTAGACAGCCTGGAAATGCCAAGCAATCTGTTTGACTGCCATGTCGAGGACAGCTTCCAAGTTTGCCTTACACCAGTTCCTATCTCTGTTTTTTCCAACGGGTTATCCTATGCCTGTACCCACATTACCACAGATCAGTGGGTCCTAAGCAGGGTGGAATTAGGCTACATCCTTCAGTGTTTTTCTATACCACCCCCCACCCCCTGTCCCTCTTTAGGGACTACTCTCATGAGGAGGTTCCCCCCTTCGGAGGTCCAGTCTCTCCTCCTGTTGGGAGCTATAGAAGAGTCCCCTCCTCTCCACAGAAGGAAAGAGTTTTATTCATGCAGTCTAATTCCAGAGTCAAAAGAGGTCGTAGACCCATATTAGAGCTGCGAGAGCTGAACAAACGTATAAAGAAAATAAAATTTTGCATGGTGACCCTAGCATCCATTATTCCCTACCTGGATCCTGGGGACTGGTACACTGCCCTTGAGTTGAGAGAGACACATTTCCATATGGCTGTCCGTCAAAGCCACAGGAGATTTGTAAGATTTATGAGAAATAACTCCCATTATCAGGCCACACTCCTGCCTTTTGACCTATCTGTGGCCCTGAGAGTATTTACAAAATACATGGTGATGGTGGTTGCGTTCCTAAGGAAAACAGGAGTACAAGTATTTCCATATCTGGATGACTGATTGGTGGGAGGTCTCTCCAAGAGCCAGGTAGAATTCTGTGTGTCCAAGATCCAGTCCATCTTTAGAGTTGTGGGACTGCTTATCAATGAAGACAATTCAGTCTTTTCCCCTGTTCAGAGAATATTGTTTATAGGAGTAGTCTTGGATTCTATGTTAACCAGGACTTTCCTCCTGCAAACCAGATTCCAGATGATGATAGTCATTGTATTGGATCTGAAGGCCCATCTAGTCACAACTGTAAGGAACTGCCTCAGATTACAAGTTACCAGAGGCCTCATGTACACATGTGGTTCAGCATGCCAAAATTTATCTAAGGAAGTTGCATCGGTGGCTGATCTCAATATATGCTTCAACTCATCACTAGACATGCTGGTTCAAATGCCCGTAGGAATTGTAGCCACTACGAATTGGTGGATGGATCTAACAAATGTATGCATTAGAGTTCTGTTCATGTCCACACAACCACATTGACTCTGGTTACAGACACTTCTCTTGGTTGGGAGCCCACCTGAGGAATCTACAGACTAAGGTCTTTGGTGTCACTAAGATTTAGCTGTCCACAAAAACATGAGAGAGTTGAGTCATTTATCTTGTCTGTTGGGCTTTTCTCCCCCACATCAAGGAAAGACTTTTCTTGTTCTTATGGACAACACAGCAGCAATGTTCTATGTGAACTGAAAGGGAGGGGCCAGATCAGATCATCAAGAGATGATACAGCTTGGGAGTTCTGTATCGCCAACACGATTCACCTCAAAGTGTCCCACCTTCTGGGTGTTCAGTACAGTCTGGCAGCCTCCTTGAGCAGCTCTTCCACAGAGATCATGAGTAGTCTCTCTGGCCAGATATAGTAAGACTGATTTTTCAAACCTTGGGTGTTCCTCGCATACTCCTGTTTGCAACTCATCACAACAGGAAGTGACATCCTTTTTTAACTTTTTTTTTATTCTAGAGCAGATCACATTCAAGGATCTCTGATGAAAGCTTTCCTATTACTCTGGAAAGACAAGCTAATGTATGCTTACCATTATCAGCATTGGTTCTCCAGCCTGTTGAGCTTCTCAACCAGGGCTCCTTTTACACTTCTTCCAGAATCAGACCAAATCTCACAGGACTATATATGCTTTTCATCTTGTGGCATGGATGCTTCATGATTAACCTCTCAGGAGTTCTGTTTAAGGGATGTACAAAACATCCTCCTGAACAGCAGAAAGCCTTCTGTTAGGTACAATTACCTATTTAAGTTCTCCTTATAGTTCTGTTGGTAGTCACAGCAGAAAGGAGGTTCACCAGACTGGGTTTCTATATAGCTTGTTCTGAACTATTTTATTTCACCTGAAACAGCAAGGTCTTTCCATTAGTTCTATCAGGGTTCACCTAGCAGCTGTCTCCACTTTCCACCCTCCAATTGCTTGTCACTCAGTTTTCTCCAGTCCAATGTCACTCAAATTCTTAAAGGGACTGGACTGGTTATATCCCCAAGCAGAGGATCCTGTCCATCTTGGGACTGGAATCTGGTGTTAACAAAGTGGATGTGTTCACTCTTTGAACCATTGCTTACCTGTTTGTTACTTCTGTTAGTGAAAGTAGCTTTTTTGATGGCTGTTAACTCTGCAAGAAGGGTGCTAGTGTTACAAGTCTCGGTAGCTGGGCCACCTTATACAATCTTTTACAAGGGCAATCTATACTTAGCCCACATCTGAAAATTCTGACTAAATTAGTGTCTCACTTCCAATTAATCAAGCAATATACTTACCAAATTTCTTTCCTAAACCCTGTCCTCATAAGGGTGAGGAGAGAGTGCATACCACATGAGGGCATTAGCTTTTTACTTGGACAGGGCTAGACCATTTAGGTCATCATCACAAGTGTTTGAGGCATACGAAGACAGGCAGAAGGTTCTTCCAGTCTCAACTCAGAGAATCTTGTCATGAATTTCCTCCTATCATAGGGTCATAGAATCATAGAATATCAGGGTTGGAAGGGACCTCAGGAGGTCATCTAGTCCAACCCCCTGCTCAAAGCAGGACCGATCCCCAATTAAATCATCCCAGGCAGGGCTTTGTCAAGCCTGACCTTAAAAACTTCTAAGGAAGGAGATTCCACCACCTCCCTAGGTAACGTATTCCATTGTTTCACCACCCTCCTAGTGAAAAAGTTTTTCCTAATATCCATCCTAAATCTCCCCCACTGCAACTTGAGACCATTACTCCTTGTTCTGTCCTCTTCTACCACTGAGAACAGTCTAGAGCCATCCTCTTTGGAACCCCCTTTCAGGTAGTTGAAAGCAGCTATCAAATCCCCCCTCGTTCTTCTCTTCCGCAGACTAAACATCCCCAGTTCCCTCAACCTCTCCTCATAACTCATGTGTTCCAGTCCCCTAATCATTTTTGTTGCCCTCCGCTGGACGCTTTCCAATTTTTCCACATCCTCCTTGTAGTGTGGGTCCCAAAACTGGACACAGTACTCCAGATGAGGCCTCAGCAGTGTCGAATAGAGGGGAATGATCATGTCCCTCGATCTGCTGGCAATGCCCCTACTTATACATCCCAAAATGCCATTGGCCTTCTTGGCAACAAGGGCACACTGTTGACTCATATCCAGCTTTTCGTCCACTGTAACCCCTAGGTCCTTTTCTGCAGAACTGCTGCCTAGCCATTCGGTCCCTAGTCTGTAGTGGTGCATTGGATTCTTCCGTCCTAAGTGCAGGACTCTATAAGAATGTGCTACAACATTATTAGTGTAACAGATCTGATGTCTGTACGAGCCATTTGTAGAGCTGCAACTTGCTCATTAGTGTATTCCTTTGCATCTCATTATGCCATATCAGCATAACAGGTATGATGCCAAGCTTGGAAGAACAGTCCTCCCACTATTGTTCAGATAGACCCTGATCCCACTTCCAAACTGAACTGCTTGTGAGTCACCTGAAGTGAAATGGACATGTGCAATCACTCGAAGAAGAAAAAATGTTTACTAACCTGTTCTGTAACTGTTGTTCTTATGACGCCCACCCCTTTCCCCTCTATATTGGAGTCTGTCCAGTAAGAAGGAACTGAGCATTGTTGGGGACAGCTCCGTCCTTTATACTATGCATAGCAGTATCAGGCAGCAGAGGGCACATGTGCCACCCTGATGGGTGTCTAAGGGAAAAGTCTCTAGCTGTGGTGCACTGGACACGCACACCTGAAGTGGAATGACCATGAGCACCATATCTTGAAGAACAACAGTCACAGAACAGGCTAGTACTCGTTTTATCTACGGACAAATTTTCAACAATTAAGCTCTGGGTCCAGGTAGTGGGTCTCATGGCTTCATTAGTACATTTTCGTAGGCCTAACTAAATGAGACTTCATGTTTGCTCATGAATATCTAAATATTAGTGAGGTCAGTAGTTAAGTGTACAAAAATTTGTCTGCCCGGTATCTGAAAATCTTCACGTGTGCAAACCAATTCTGTATGTTCACAGGCCCTAATGAACTGTCTCTTCATTTCCTGGTAATGGTTTCCCTTTTCTGTAAATCAGTTTCATAATACAGATTTCTTTCAATTACATTTTAATAAATTGAGGAAACTTTAGCTGGAACTTTAGCTTTAGCATACATTTAGCTGGAATTGACTTGTAATAATACACTTCATACTGCTCCTTTTAAAAATATTCTTACAGTAGTGGAGTATACTGTCAAAAAATCCACAATTTCATAGTCTTCCTTATTAATATTGCCTCAAGTACAAAATTAATCCTTTTGATTGGATGTACTATTTGTCCTAATACTGTTTAATGAGAACTTGTTTGTGCTAAGTACATTAGCAGAAAAATTGCTTTTCCGGAGTTTCCAGGTGTCACAGAAGTAATTTCTCTTTAGGTCAAGATCTTATTCAGCATAATTCTTCTGGAAGTAATGAGTTGAATGGGAGTTTACGACTGACAACACCAACAATCAGCAATCAATCAACAGGTGCTACGTTAACTATAAGCAATGATCAACTTCTGTCTCAGGGTACATCACTGAACGCTTCAGGTAAGCACTAATTGATTTCTTAAGAGAAATAATAACTTTCTGTGTGGAAAAATAGTTGCTGGGCCTGTTCAGTAAATCTAGAATGTTAAATTCGTTTTGTTCCCTGATTATAAAGCCCAAGATTTTGTCTGTTCTCTCACCTGACTCCATCATGTTTCATATCAATTGAAATGTTCATCCCCATAGGACAGGGAGCAAGGGAGAACAAGGGAGTGAGTACATCTAAAACTGGTGCACTGGGATAGTTAAAGGAATAATGCACAGAGGTTTCCTATTAAACTGGAGGCATTAGGGAACCTGTCATGTGGCCAAGGAACAGTGATAAAGGAGTCATGATTCAGATTTCCCATAGGACTTAAGTTATCACATTGTTCTGTAAATATGAAACAGTTCATACTTTGTACTCATATACAAACGGTGAAATTCACTGTCTGTGTCTGGTGTGGTAGGTCCCTTTTGCTTTCCTTTCCTCTCTCCCTTAGTGGATGCAGGTCCTTTGTAATTATAAGCAGGCAGTTCTTCTTTGAGAGCATCCCTCTGGGTGCTCCACTTGAAATACGCATGCACCTTCAATTGGAGATTGTTGGCAGCAGTGCTGTTTGGCCTGCACATGCGCCCTACCCATCCTTGTGCCCCATACTGAGGGCATATAAGGTTGTGACAGATGAACTGTCCTCAATTCCTTCTCAGCTGCCATGGCCAGAGGCAGAGAGTTCAGCAGTACTCACTTGTGCAGATGCCTTCCTCTTAGTTGCTATTTTTAGTTTTATTTTTATAGTTAATTATTTTATTCTTTTACTTAGCTTAGTGTTTTGTTTCTTTTGGGATCTTTTCCACTAGCCGAAGCTTTGGCTCCTTGCTGCCTCCACTTCCCTTTGCACAGGGGTGTCCATTTTCAAGGAGCCTTTTTTGTTTTGAGGCATGCTTATACTCCCAGTCTTTAAATATTACCTCACTTGCCTGGAGTCCTTCCCAGTTAATGACAGCCACTCCCACTGTGTCCACTTGGGAATACCCGTGTGCTCTCAAAGTGCAAAATCTGCACTAGTTTTAAGAGCCATTCTAGGGAGATTAAACTTCACCTCTTCATGATGGAGTGCTCCCTTCATCCGGCTTCAGGTCCAGGCCCGGAGACCCCCCCCCCACCCATACAGTGGCCTCCAAGCCACGATATTGCCCCATCAGCCTCCAGTAGACCTGCATGTGAAGTGGGAAAGATTTCTATCAAAAGCAGAGAGCTTCTGATATTGACCTTCTGATAGCTAAGAGGGCAGATGAAAAGTATTAAGTTCTAATTCACGGTTCAGAATTTTTATTTTCCCACCCATCCCCTAACTCATGGATTATGGATGCAATGAATGAACAACACAGGCAGCACCATTTGAAGACCATCTCATGATAGGGCTAATGTTCCATGAGCACATAGATATTTTGGTCAGAAGAGCTATTCAGTTGCCACCGTGCCACCCTGTAGTTCAGAGCTTAGGGATCAGTTTCAGGCAATTGTTGCAGAAGGGCATCTATCCAGAACAGCTTTATGGTCCTCTCTTGATGCCGCTGGCAAGTGCTGTTCAATCCAGCTTCACAGCTGGATTGTCAGTCGAGTGTCAGGTCTCATGGTTGCAGTCCTCTGGAATTTCGTGTGAAGTCCAAAACATTGTAGAGGACCTCTCCTTTGATCATCTGAAATTATTTTGCAAGTTCTCGGAGAGGGCTCTGCATTCTCCAGGTCTCCAGGGCAACCTTTTATTTGCTGGGCATAAATACATTTGCAAACCAGAGGAGATTCAGTTAGCCTCAGACAGCACAGAGATTTTGATCCGCTCAGTTTTCCACCTACCACAGCACCTTGGAAACACCTAAAAGGAAAACCTGAATGGAGAGGGGGAAATTCTCAACTGCTGCACCTGGATTGACGCAGCGGCCACCATCAAGAAAGTGGTTGTTTTGACTCCTTGGTCGAGGGTCACAAACATCTCCGCAATCCAGATTTGCTGCTATACTACTCTGCCCTTTCCTTCCTCCCAACTTCTGGGGATTGTGTCTCCCGTTTCTGAACCTCATGGCAGCAGATTTCTTCAGATAGATGGCTCTTGGAGGTTATAACTTCGGGCAACTCCATTCTCTTGCATTCCATACCCTGCCTCCCTTCCCTGTCCCTTTTCAGGGATCCATCTCATGAACCTCTCCTGAGGTGAGAGGTTCTCTCCCTTCACTGCATAGGGGCCATGGAACAAGTTCCGACTCAATGTAAAGGAAGAGATCTGTTCTAAGTACTTCCTGATTTCCAAAAAGAGGGGTACATGGAAGCCAATTCTAGATCTCAGCATACTGAATACCTTCATCAAGGTACAGAGATTCATGATGGTACCACTAGCTACTATCATTCCATCCCTAGATTCAGGAGGCTGTTTTGTGACCCTTGACCTTCAGGACGTGTACTTTCATGTCACAATACAGCCCTCTCACAAGAGAGCCTTACACTTTGTCATAGGTCAGGACCACTGTCAGTATCGAGTCGTCCTTTGCAGCCCATCTGCTCTGTACCCAGAGTGTTTACAAAAGTTATGATGGTAGTTGCCTCACAGCTTTGCCAATGGGGAGTAATTTGTTTCCCTTATTTCAATAGCTGGCTTCTTAAGGGGTGTTCCTATGCTGAAGTTCAAACTGCTGTAAAGAAAGCTATGTCTCTCTTCCACATGCTTCACCTTCACCTCAGTACTGGAAAATGACCCCTCTTACTTCTGTGGAGAATGGAGTTCATAGGGGCCACTCTCGATGCCACGACATCCAGAGCCTACCTACCAGAGGACAGGTTTCTCAGTCTGACGTACTTAATAGCTCAAGTCCAAATGAATCCCCACACCGTTGCCAGACTGTGCCTGCAGCTCTTAGGGCATGTGGCAGTGTGTACTTTGTCATGTTACACACTTGCTTACATATACCCTGCTTCAAAGCCTGGCTCAGGACAGTTTATACCCTCCCAGCAGAGAGAGTTTGAACAAGTTGCTCTTTAGTCCCAGCCGTGTGCTAGTCTTTCTTGAATGGTGGAAGAATCCGGACAAGGTATGCTCAGGGATTCCCTTCAGTTATCTGCCTCCTTCTGTCGCAATAGTTTTGGATGCATCCATCTGAGGATGGGAAACTCATCTATGGGACCATGTTATCCTGTGCAGATAGTCCGCCCAGGAGTTTACATATCAACTTTCTGGAGGTCATGGCAGTACATTATGCTTACCAGCATGATAGAAGGTCATTCTGTTTGTCTAATGACAAACAGGACCAGTATGTACAACATAAATCAACAAGGGGTTGAGATCCCCTTCTCTGTGCTCAGAGGCACTCGGGTAATAGAACTGGTGTATAGTCCACCATATCCATATCTCAACAGGTTATTTTTACAGCTGCTAAAACACCATTGCTGATTACCTCAGCCAACACTTCACCTTGGATGACGAGTGGGAAGTTGAATACTAAAGCAGATTTAGTATGAATACCATACTAAAGCAGATTTTCCTTACCTGGCGTCTTCCAAACAAAAGACATTTTTTCCAGTACTGCCAACCGCAGATGTGCAAAATTCTGTTTGAGAAGACGTTTCAGTCTCCATTCCATGGGGACACCTTTTTCCTTTCCTGGTCAAAGAGTCTCCTATATACCTTCCCCTCCAATGCTGCTAATCTTCAGCGTTCTAAACAAATAGGACAAACCATGGTAATTTTGATTGCACCAACCTGGCCAAGACAGGTATGGTTTCCTTACCTTCTTTATTTCTGCTCCCAGCCCGCCATCGTTTAGGATTTGGGGAATATTTGTTACCCCAGCTTGGAGGCTCTCTGGCTAATGGCTTGGTACCTAGATGGCTTTCAGGATTAGAACTCTCTTGTTCCAGAGAGGATCAAGAAGTCTTTTTTTGAACAGCAGTAAGTAGTCTACCATGAATTGTCTTCAGAAATGGAAGTGATTTTACCACTGGTGCACATACTATCACCTCTCTCCTGTTGATTCTCCATCTTGGAGATTTTGGATACCTATGGATTCACTCTGAAGAAAAGAGGTCTCTTGTTAAGCTCCATTCAAGTCCACGTAGAAGCCATCACAGAATTTAATTCTCCTATGGAAGGTTTTTCAGTATTTGCTCATCCTTCAGCTTCCAGATTCATCAAAGTGTTATCAACTCTCATCCTAAGTGTGAACATGGGGTTTGAATAATCTCCCTGAGAGCCATTAGCTTCTTGTACGCTTCTAAATCTTTCCATGAAAATGGTTTTTCTAGTGGCAAATACCTCTTGTAACCATGCCTCAGTGGATCACAACTGAGAATACCAAATTCAGGATGAACTGTTGAGAAACAGGGCAAACAGACCCCAAAACTGGTGGTTATTCTTTCACAAGATATACTAGACCAGCAACAGAAGTACACTGACGTTTCACCGCACTGGCTAACAAGAAGTCAGAAAAGCAGTCTCCTTAGGTGTTCTAATCCTTGTATCACCACCAAAAACACTAGACTTAATGAAGAGTGGATATTTAAAACCCTTCTGATCCCAAAGGACCAGCCACATTGACCTAGGTCAATATCTAACTTACCCAGTAATCATGCTGTTGTCAGTCCTTTAGTATCTAATATCTAAAGGTTTATTTATAAAAGAAAGAAAGGTGAGAGTTAAAAGTGGTTAAAGGAATCAAATACATACAATAATTGCAAGGTTCTTGGATCAGGCTTGTAGCAGTGATGAAATTAAACTGCTGGCTTGTTAAGTCTCTGGTTGCTTCCAAATCACTGGAAGGTCCTCAGTCCTTTGGACTTACACTCATGGGAGCATTCTAACCATAGTCCAGAGGTTAGAGTAGGAAAGAGACAAAATGGAGATGTCTCCACAGCCTTTTATAGCTTCTGCCATGCAGAGGGAAACCCATTGTTTCAAACAAAGCCATCTGTCCAGTTTGTGGAAAAATACAGGTACCGTAACAAGATGGAGTTTGGAGTCACATGGGCA